CAACTCACACCTTCAAAAACTCAAGAAGAATACCTGGTTTTAAATAGCGTAATGTTAAGTTTGGTATTTTTTATAATAATATTGTTATTATTGGTCAATTTTAGCTTTGTGGCATTTATGAATGATTATTATGTATTATATCCTAATTAAACTCCCTTTAAGTTATATTTTAGATGTTTTTTGTTTGTTTTGTTTATTTGTTTTTACATTTTATTGCTCTTTTCTGTTCATATATGCTGCTTGGATTGATTTATTGTTAGGTATGCTTAGCATCCATATCCATTGATGATTTGTTACTTAAATAAGCTTAATAAAGTTTAAAAAACAAACAAACTTCAAACTCAAGATATTTTCTGAAACTTTAACAACCACTTTACAATTCGGCATATATTGCAATCACATATTAAAAAATATTTACTATAGCTAACCTCTCATCAAATCATATTGTAACGATCGTGTAGTGGGAGTACAATTGTAAAAGTTTATATTTTGGAAAAAACAATATTCTTTGGAAGATTGCATGCATGCCGAATTGTAGAGAGGCTTTTAATATGTCACCACAGAGTTTCAACTGTGACATATAAGCTGCGCACACTTGCACAAAAACAAATGATTCAATAATTTACAGATTTCTAAACGTACACTTGTTTTTCCTGCAGGGAGCAGCAACAAAAAGCAGCACATTTTCCTTTAATGTTCACCCACCTTTCATAAAGTCAATGCGCAGAGGTGTGCCCGTACTCAGGCTTCGACTTAAACGTCCAGACACCCATGTGTGCCCATGTGTCACCCGTCTGGAGGAAAGCAACCCGGGACCCGTCCGCACCTTCGCATGCAGCCTGCGCCAAGCTGACATTGCTGGGGAAGCTAGCTAAAGCCAGCTAGCTCGCTTGCCAGGTTGCTAGTCGGCTACGTGTGAACAGTAAAAAGTAAACAAAGAGTAAACGAAACAAAACAACAGTCAACAAACTCGCGTTGTGTTCTCTTAAAACGAGCGCAGTCCCAGTTTGTAATGTGTCAGCGAGGTCATCTTCAAACCTGAGTCCATGTTGACAACGCCGGAAGCGACGCTCGTCTCCTTCAAAATAAAAGCACACATTTGGCTATGTCTGCCCATCACTTAATGACAGTGGCCTACCAATCTGTGACAATTAAACCAATTTTGATTCATTTTGAGCAGATTATATCCCGTATGTTTATTATGTTGTCTCTCTGTGTGTTTTTTTTTTAACAATCGTACGTATGTAACAGGCTTCTTTTTTGACAAATTCAGTGTTTTCTTCTCCCCGATACTGCGCCATTGTTCCATTGACTGCTGTTCTAAAGCAGGACGAGGCTGTTTAGCAGGGAGTGACGTTAAAAATCACAATTTAATTTAGTTATAGTACAGAAATAAACAAAATGCTGAGATATAGGCCTACTACTGTGTATGTTTTCTTAAAAACAAGAAGGCCTTGCAACCCCCTGTGAAGCTTTGTGCCAGTCTGTGCCTCTTGTGTGTTTTTGTTTGTTTATTTTTAAGCTGGTGCACATTAATAAAATATTGCTGTGAATGTGCAAGAGGCTATTTTTCATCTGTATTAACATAACAGGCACAAACCAGAGCTATAGGGACAGAATTGTGCTTTTAATTGTAAAAGAATGTCTGCTATATGTATGTTTAGGGCTGTAACTAATGAGTATTTTGCATCAATTTAAATGCAGATTTTTCTTTATAAATAGATTAGACAGACTACTTTAGTCCACTAAATGTCTAATTTCTCAGAGTCCAAGGTAACATGTTCAAGTGTCTTTTGTCAACCAACAATCCAATACCCGAAAAATCTTATTTTTATATAAAAGCAGATCATTCGCACACATTTTGGCATTTTTGGTGAAATGTGCAACGTTAAATTATTATTAGAGTCTTGACTTTACATTTAAAAAGAAGACATTTTATAGCATTTTTCACTTTGTGGCCAAAACCCCTCCACTAAATAAAGATATATTTTTAATATATCTTGACATCCCATCTTGAGACTGTGTAAATAATAATGGAAAACAATGGAAAAATATTTTTTTCTATCCCTGAAAAAGTCATATATGTTGTATTTTTTTTTATAAATGTATCATAATTCAAGTTACTACATCATTTTTACAGCCCTATATATACATAAAGTATGTGGCAACCTGTGTACGCAAGTCTCTAACTCGGACATCAATATTTTATTTTGAAAACTGCACAGGAAACCTTCATTAGGTTCCTTCATACTTGATGCTGATTCATAAGAGAGGCAGTGGCTCATCATGTGACCATATAAAGCCAATCAGAGCAGTGGGACAACACACGGTTCAATTTCTTTTTCCACTCCATGTAATTTACTGCAAAACAAGAGAGAGAGAAAATGCTTTCTTACATTTTGCTGTAGCTGTTTTACAGTTTGTCCGGTATTAAAGTGTGTTTGGTTGATAATAACGTCGAAATAAAACCTTTAATAAATGTTTCTTTACTAAATTACAACTTTATATCTTGTAAATTCAGTCAATCACATACCAAAAAAATATACAAACCACATATAATATTGGTTTATTGCTGCACTCTCAGTCCGGTTTTCTATTTGTTTTCATGATCGTTGATTCCTCTTGAAGGCGTGAGCGTTACAGACAGTCTGATCAGATATAATCAAAGAAATACAATCAATAAACAAAACACGGCAGGATTCAGACTGCTGATGCACCTGTAGAGCAGAGATTTCAGAACCAGGTGTACTTAAACCTCTGGGTACTGTTGTATATATCCACTTATTGAGTCGACTGTAACATCTGAACATCAGCTTTTGCAAATGAAAGAGTGTAAAAACTAACGTGAGCAGATGAAGTTGAGACAGTTGTAGCTTAAAGATAAAGTTGAAGCAGTGTAGATAAGTAGTTGAGGTAGTTAAAACTTTTATCTTTGTGTTCCTGTCTTGAAGAAAGTCCCGGGGGGTTTTAAGTCCTTCATAAATTAATGTTATATGTTGCATATTTCTAAATCAATCTGTTAAATTAAGATACCACACTGCAAATCTGAGGTTACATTAAGAACCGTTTGCATTCAGAACAGGAGGTTCATTAGTTAACGTCAGTATCACCTGATGCAACAAACACAATGTGGACCTTTAGATCTGTTCTCCTTTTTGCATGGCACACAAACAGCTATGAGCTTATCACTATTATTTGTCTTGACAATCATAAACTAATGTAAATGTCACAGACCAGACATCCTCTCCTTCAAACCGCCTCAAACCGGACCCGATTTGTTCCGTCTTTGCCCTTTTTAAACAGTTCTGGCTACCCACATTTCATTGTATGTGTTCCTCTAATTATGCCCCGACTTCCTCCCAGCCTGCCTGTTATTGTGCGGGCATCCTGGTTCACTTTCAAAGACCGATAAGAGCGTAATAAGGTGGCTTTTGAAAACCCCACTAATATAGTCCTACTGGGGTCATAAACTATCCACAGCTCAGTTACTTTTAACCTTAACCTTTAACCTAAAACTAATTAATTAACATGTTATATCACATTTGTTTAATCTTTGCTATAAAAAAAGATGTGTTTTTATCTTTATGGGGGGTTATTTTTTGACCACTAACTCTCTGGAGTCTCAATTGGTTCCTGATTTTTGACTTTCTATAACAAAACAAGAGTTAATTCAGCTTCTCACTGCAACTAAATAATGGACCATAAAGTAGAAAATCTAAATTATGACTATTTAAGTTTGTAGTTGAAAGAAAATGTCATAGGAAAGGCAGCTTTTTCTGCATTAAGCACAAGTTTGAGCCCAAATATTTGGGGTTGATGAACCAGAAAATTATAGAAAAATGGGATTTTAATGTTAAAAATGTTGGTTTTTGGTCTGGACGTTTGGCAAAGACGTTTTGAATCCACACTGTTGTGATCTGCAAGGTGTTACAAGAGAAAAAAAGACCAAGTTTAATAAGTGTGACTGACAATATACACAAGAGAATCACATAAATATAAATAAAAACACTATTGATCCACGTTTGTAGAGAGGACATGGCCACTAGAGGGCTCCCTGTCAAAAGTTTATAATGAGAAAATAAAAAAGTCCCTTATTCTAGTCTACAATACTTACATGATATTATTTCTATATAATCCTGATTCCTTCTGATCACCTGTCGCCTTATATTCAGCTCTTTATACTTTCTAGTTTTGGATGAATGCCACACTTCTCATCACCTATTTTATCACCTCCATTACTAATTTACATTTATTGTAGGAACGTTTCCAACTTCTCCTTTTACACCTTTGCATGATATTCTGACAATAGGTCCACCGTTGGCTTTCCTGCTACAGCTCAATTCCTTTATGTAATAAATGACTGCATTTGGAAGACGAAGAAGGATGTGGTGCAGTTTTAAAAGGAGAGTAACAAATATGATGTAAGGTGGATCATTGCAGCCGCATGTGACCTACAAATAAAAGCACCTTGTAATAACATAATTATATCATATATCATGTTGTAAATGTTGTATTTTAATGTGTTGTGATTTTTTGTATGGCTGCTACCTCTAGGCTCTCTAGTAAAACAGATTTTTGATCTCAGTGAGACTTCTTGGTAGAACAAAGATAAAATAAATAATTAATTATCATATAATTATGTACCTCGTTTTGTATATTTATCTGTTCTTCTCATTTTTGCTACATATTATTTTTTTGTATGTATTTCGTTGTTGTTGTTGCTGTTGTTTTTATTATTAATATTATTATTATAAGTAGCATGATTTTTTTAAAGTAGTTTCAGTTGAAGGAATTACATTGTGTATACTATTTAAATATAATATTAAAATTATTATTTTTTTTAAATGCATCCAAATTATATCTTAATAAACTAATAAACCCTTAAAAGCCTAAAAACTTTTTTTTAAAAACTTTTTGACAGTCGATGTTTTTCGATCGCTTTTATTTTGAAGACTTGTCGAGGAAAGGGGTTTTATTTTGAAAATACGACAAAGGAGGTGGCCGAGTAACGGTCGTGGAGCTTGACGCCGCGTATGTTTTCTGTTCCCCGGGGCCACAGTGTTTTCAACGGGACTCAACTTACTACTAACTGGACCCGCGATGGCCGCTTGACCCAGGGGCGGCTCGAAATACCCTCCTCCAGCAATCGCCACCGTCGACACACAACTTTTCCCAGATAAAAAACTTTCGTCTTTTGTGTGGTTTTTATGTCAAGGACTAAGGATGCAACCCCCACCGAGAAAGGTGAGTTTTTCTCTCTCCCCCCCCTCTCTCTCTCTCCCTCCCTCCCCGTCCTCTCTCCCGTTGTAGCCGTTGAAGCTAACGTTACTTGTGTCTGGGAACCTTCTCGACGAACTGCTGCATATTTTTAAAATGGTTGAATTTGTGCTTTTGTTGCTGGTCGGGTTGGTTTTAAACTCTTTTTAAAAAAAAAAAAAAAGTTAAACTTGTGCTGTTTCTTTAAATGGCAGCAAAGGAAAGGAAGGAGAGGGAGAAAAAAAAGTCCCATGTGCCACAATTTTTAAGGAGAATAGCCCCCGTTAAACGTGCCCCGTTCCCTCTCGAATCGAGCTCTGCCAAAGCGCGTTCAAAATGCGGCGTTATTAAAACGTTTATTGGTTTTTATTCGGGTACCGCTCGGAAAACAACCGCGCATTTGTAAACCAATAACGGTACCGGGGTGTTGTGTTACATCGGCGTGCAAGAGGTTTACCGAGCCACTCTTTAAGTTCAAGTAAATATCAGTTTGGTTCACACTGCTCCCGTTGCCATCCGCGGTTCTAGCTGGTTGAGCGGAGCGAGACTGTGGCAGCAGCAGGCGCAGCAAAAGTTAGGATTTTATCCAGGTGAATTGCAGTTTTAGTGTTTAATGTGTGCCGATTTTGAGATTAGATCCACGTGTATTTAAAAAAAAACTCAAATTAATTCCTAATCTGTCATTTGAGTATGTTTGGCGCTGTTGACGTGGAAATTGACAGATTTGTTTATGTAGTTTGGTCCTGTTTGTTTTTTTTTTCTTATACAAGAAAGTCTTGGGGGGGTGGAAAGAAGAAAAACAATCCTTGCCGTCAAAGTGTATTTAAAGCTTAACTTAAAAACTTAAAAGAGTAAACAGAAGTCTTCAGCGTTTGAGTTAAAGAAATATTGGTTAAAATAAAGAATACAAATCTAAGTTTGGTTCTGTGCGAAAAAAATGTTCATGTGGGATCATATTTCAAAAACATGGCTCAGCAGCACAGAGAATTGACCATTTATACCCCAGTACGTTTGCACAGCAGTCAAATAAATGCAGGTTTTTTACAGTTTTGTATGGTTAATGTAAAGATATGTGGACTGTTAAAAGATTTTATGGATTATAATGTTGTGTCTTTGGACATTTGTGTGTATTTATACCTTAAATCTACGTTTCTTTCTGTAAAATTACAGTCATAAAGTTAAAACAGACTCTCTGACAGGGCTGACATGCTGATAGTTAATTCCAGGATTAAGTATCTAATCAGAACTAATGTGTGTAATTCATGTTTTCCTGTTGACAGAACTCCCAGTTATCAGGAATGCAACTGGTCACTACACTTCTTAATTGATCTCACGGCCAATTAGAAGCCCAGAGAAACAGACTCTCACCTTGATGATGAGTGGAGCTCATTTTCACCACCTAGATTGGAAATTAAGATAAAGTCTAGCCTCGGTTTAAACCACTCATTAGTAAAATGTTCCAGAAAAACCTGCCAAAAATGTGCACATTTCAATAATGTTTACATTGTGTTTAGAAGAAAATCATCCAGATTTCCAGACTTGTTTCCTGTCTCATGTTGAAGTTTACCTTGCGCTATATTGTAGAGCTGCAACTAATGGTTGTTTTCATTATATATTAGTCTGCAGAGGAAGTGTTCGGTCCATTAAATGTCAGAAAGTTGTGAGAAATGTCAGAAATATTGCTTGTTTTGTTCAAAAACATATAACATAAAAGAGAAAAAGCACCAAATCCTCCCAACTGAGAAGCATAAACTAAGGAATATTTGGTATTTTTGCTTGAAAAATGGCTTTAACGATTAATTGATTAAGCTCTGCCATATTTTAATCTGGAAATGGTTCAATTTCATGTGTCACTAGGGTGTATGGAGAGAGTAATTTAAAATTAAATGTGCAACTACGCCCTAAATCAGGAGTGCCCAAACTTTTTCTCTTGGAGAAACTTAATGGTGGGACACGAGCCAAAAGCAACCCCCCCATTGTATTGTAAGTGTCACTCCGCCTGCTGTGCTCAGATTATGAAAAATAATTAACAATTGTCTATCCTACGTATTTGCAGAGCGTTTTCTAACTCACACAAACGGGGGAATTACCCTGCCCTAAATCATAATTGTCCAGTTATACCAGCCAAACTTCCTGCTCCTACTTTGTTATTGGCTCGGTAGCACCAGAGAGAGATTTAAAAAGTGTACTCTGCCATTTAATTAGGCCTGTAACTAACGATTATTCTCATTATTGATTTAACCTGATGTTTCATATCTTGATTCATTCATTTTGTGGTTTGAATAGTCCAGAATGTAAAAATATATCACATTTTCTTCACATTTAAGAAGCACAACTAGTGAATGTCTTTTTTTTTTTTTGTTAAAAAAAGGAGTTTATCTGATCAATTAACAGACTAATTGTTTCTTTCCCTGCTGACTAATAAGTAGAAAGACTCACTGAGTACTCCATGTTTGATATCCACAAGCTCCTTATTCTGTGACTGAAAGGGTTGAAGATTGCTCTAAGTTGAACATTAAACTGTAAATAAATTAACTTATGTGGACGTCAGCTGTTGTAAATAACTTAAGAGGCACATTTATTCTGTTCTGATGAGTTAATAGGTAGGTATCAAGGTAATTAGCTGCACTTAATACAAGAATACACCGTCCCTGCTGATGGAAATACTCACCAGAGCAGCAAAAGTGTATTAATCCGCCACTGAAAATAGTCCCCAGCAGCTGCATTGTTTACTGCTTTAATTTCCTAAAACAGCCGGTCACTGTAGTTTAACAATGTTTGTGCCTTGTTTTTAAATATTTATGTCTTCAGTAAGAATCAATGAGCTTACAGCAGAGCGAGGGGAAGTCACGGGGGAGCAGCACATTGTTGGTTTTGGTCTTTTTATAGACTTTATTGAATGAAAAAACTATAGAATAACACCTGGATTCTCAGTTAATATGCTGATTATTGTTCATAAAATGTCAGAAAATCATGAAAAGAGTCCAGAGTAATGTATATGTTTAAATATATTAAGTTTATTATCATATATGACAAACAAAACCATCAAATCAGACGTTTGAAAAGTTGTAAAGAATATTGAAGAGGGATCAGATTTGTGATTTACTGAACTTTAACCAGACTCATAATTAAAACGAGGGGAAAAAAGAAGCTGTTGACTCCCAGTTATCAGTTATGAGACCTGGTCACTGCGCTGTATTATTTATCTAACAGCCAATTAGAAACCCAGAGAGACTTACTCTCACCAGAGCCGCTGCGTGATAACGAGTGCACCTAATTTTCAACTAATACCAATTGTGAGCTCGACTGAATCGACACCGGTCCCCCTTGAGTCGCCGGTCGTACCTACGGGGAATATTTACTAACACCTCTGTTTTCAAGGTGTTAAAAGAAGGATCTTTCTAATGAACCGTCTCTCTCCTCTTCCCACCACCCCTCCTCCTTCAGGTCCGGGTCACGCAGGAGCTGAAACACACTCATGCAGAGCAGATGAGCAGATTACACATCAAACACCAGACAGAATGTGACCTCCTGGAAGACCTGAGGTGAGCAGTCGGAGGTCAAACTGTACCGTCTTTTAACACCAAAGACAAAACACTTTCAGGCTGGTCCTGTTGGGGAAAGTTTCCCAGAGATCCCAAACGCACACAGAGTCCTTCCACTTGAAGTCTTTTCTCTTGTTAAACTGACATGTGAAGTTGCCATCTTGGCTCCGGGCTAATCCAAAAAAATGGGCACAGACGTGGAGCGTAGGTGGAGCTGTAGTGGGTTGAATGAAGCTACAACCACTTGTCGCTCACAGTGGCTCTTAATTATACATCATTTTAAGCCTCGGTATAATTTAAATGGGTGAAAAGTCACCCGCCATACATACTACTGGCTTCATTTGCCAACTACGGAGGTCGCTGTTTGGAGTCAACAATACATACTCAGCCTCTCCTGTCGGGGGGCTCTTGAATCGGTCCGTGTCTGCATTTATAATATGTCTACACTGTGAAAGTCCAGTAATTACAGTGCGCTCAGGTTTAGTCAAAAAGTGTTAGGCCGTCTTTAGTCACAGGAAGCCGTGTGAATGTTTACTCTGAACTGGCACCTGCTGCAGTTTCCAGACGACGAGCTGACTCTCTCTTTCGTTTCCTAGAAGTTCGGTTTCACTGTTAATCTGCCATCTACAGTATAGACGGTTATGGATTAGCTAGATTTAATCAGGCGGGGATCCCTGAGACTACATCTGATCAAATACGGGTCTGCAGCTTGATGTTTATGGTTGAGAACCACCGCTATAGAGAGTCCCAGAGTTAAAATATGACCCATATATATGCACACATAACTCTTTAAAGAGGGACTGGGTTGCAGACAGACAGCAGAGCACTCACACATCGCAGACAGAAAAATAAATTATACCTCTACTGTGAAATTTTACTGGCAGGCGGCCGATCAAAATAACTGATTATTAATGGTTGCCAATGGGCAGCTAACCACTAACCAGCTGTCTGCACTTTCCAGGTTAATGTTTTGTCAGGAAAACGCAAACAACAGGAGCAGATGATGACGTATCATCACTGTTCAAAGGTCCAGTGTGTAACATTCAGGAGGATCTATTGTCAGTTGTTATATAATATTCATAGGTATGTTTTCATTAGTGTTTAATCACCTGAAAATAAGAATCATTGTGTTTTCGTAACCTTAGAATGAGATGTTTTTATCTAGATGTTTGTGCTCTCTGAAGCATCTAAACCTGACAGCCCATAACAGTGTGAGATCACCTGTATTTTATGTCCTACAAGTTCTTAAAAATATGACATTTCAATCACGTTTTAGTCTTCAAACAATCTGGATTTTAGTTTTTCGCCTAGCTGCACGAAAAGTACTTTCATTGCCCTGAATTTATTTCTCTTTGTGGCAGTAAAACGCATTATACGAGCCATCAGAAGCTCCCATTGGTTATAGTGGGCTAACTAAACACTTTAAGCACCCACTGCTGCTTATAGACACACTATAACCTATAACAACCCACAATGCAACACTTTCTGTAGGTAGTATAGTCAACCAAACATCATTTCCAGTAATATTATTGTCTTATATTCGGCCTAATAGGGTAATTTTGACCTGTATGTGTAAACGTCCTTTAACAGATAGTTAAAGGGTTTAATCTGTTTATCCATACATCTCATTAAAAGCCAGACAGTTAGTGTTATCCACCTACAGTATGAGGCAGCTTGTTTTATTACGCAGGTCCACAATCAATTAATCTACACTCTCTGTCTCTGACCCTTTTTTTTTTATTTTATACAAGTGTAAGTAAATATTTTCTCTCTGGTCTGGTCCTTCTTCCTGTGTTTGTTTGAGGATTGTTTGACAGGGTTTTCCAACCATTTGAAGAAACGGCTATTTGCAACTTTAATCCCCAAAATAAGTCTTTAAAATTCAAGGATTAGGCCAAGCAAACACCGGACTCAGAGAGACACAGACGGCTTTAGCACTGTGTTCAGATGCGTAGGCATTTTAAAGGTTGAAAAGCCAAAGGTTGTGGTTTTGTTTTCAGCCTTTAGTGTTGGGTTGAGTTGACAGCCTACTGGCTCCCCACTTCCTGTCTGTGGTTGGTGGCAGAGCTCTGAACCTCCAAACAGCTGGAAGTTAAGGTCACAGAGAGCTGCCAGATGTTCTGAGTGCCTCGAATCGTTCGCCGTGGGGGGGCTCAGTAACTTTACGTCTGCCAGAAACAACGTGAAATGCTACAGCATTTCGGAAGAAGGGTCGATCCTTGATCTCGGAAGAGGAGTGATTCAGCAAACTGGAAATTGCGTCTGCTTGTCAGCAAAAGCTCTGTTAGGGGAAAATGACAGGAAGTAAGTGTGGGTGTGGGGGGGGCAGTGGAAGAGAGGGAGAGCCTTGGAAATGCAGAGAAGAGGAAGGGAACAGGCTAAAGGAAGAGAGGGAAGCTCCCAGGAAGTCAGCCAGATTGTTTAGAGTCGGGTGGAGCATAGCAGTCAAGTCTCGACATGTTTAATGACTTAATGATGATTTTGCCGCAGTGAAGTTTTTCCCAGGGCACTGACCTTCTTCTTCTTCTTCTCCTCTTAGACTAGATCAGTTTGTATTCAGTTGAGTTATCGTTTGCTTTGTTCCCGTTATTGTAAATCAAGCCAACAAACTGTTTATGATTTGTATATGTATTTGTGAACATTTTTCAGCTTTTTTAAAACATCAGCAGGACATTGTTGAACCTCAGTGCTCCTGCCTCCTGCGTCTGTGACCCTGTTCACTGGCTGACGTTCAGCCAAATAAAGTCACCAGTTAGTTAACATATTCATCTGAAAATCTGCAGTTAACAGGGTCACTCGTTAAACCGAAACACTGGCGAGCCGCAGGACTGCCGGCGCTTCCAATCAGGAGTTTTCTCCTGTGTGTTATTGTAATCCTGGGCTGTGAATTGAAGGATATTGACAAGCACTTTGTTTCAGACAGTCGAATCTCTTCAGCCTCGCCACCCTGGGACGCTTTCCCATCTTAAAAACAACAAAATACTAAACACGATGTGCCGTCACATGCAGGTTGTGGAGGTGTCTTTTATAATCTGACTTAGAAACTACCGAACTACTACAGTTTTACTAAATTGCTGTTAGACCGTGTCAATAAATATCAATTTTTAAAGGTTCAGCGAGGCAGGAGTGCAGAAGGGTAAATAGAAAGTTATGTTCAGAAAGCAAACAGACCAAAAACAAGATTGTTTGATAGTAGATAAAGTATTTTTAGCGTGAATTCAAAAGCTTAACTTTAATCAAATCCATCTCCTGGTTGTGAACTGTTCAGGAAGTGAATCAGTCTTTTTAATAAGCGATATACTTTGTATTTATTTATGCAAATCATTTGTTCACCATGGCAGCGTGTGAGTGTATTTTCCGTGATCAATCAAAAGTCAGAAGCAGTCACTGCTGTGTGTTGCACAGTAATCCTCCCTCCAGTTATATTACTGTGCAAATACCCCTCTTTTCACCTCGTCTCTACCGGTTTTTAATTATTCATAACGTCGTCAGCTTCCAGTCAATTACTTCTAATAATATTTATAATGAGTTAATCCTTCGTGAGCTCTTTGTGATGTCAGAAAACCAGATTTCTTACACTTCTGGGTCCTGATGATGCGATGATGGTGCAGGCAGACAGACCACCTTTAATAGACATCCATTAAATTAGAGTTTGCTTCAGAGGCTTTAAAAGATGCAGATAAATGTCATTTTAAAAGTGCGTCACTTGCACAATTGTACATATTTTCTGTTGGAGTTGGATGTCGGGCAGGAACACACCACTTTACCACTCGTACCTGTATGATTGGAGGGGTAATAGGAAGGAGGGTTTAAAATCTGTGATGATTTTATTGTTCACCCACAGATCTGCAATGATTTAGCTACTAAAAATACTGCTTTTATAAAGATTTTTTTTACTGTTTTAAGTGTTTACAATGATTTAAGACGCTAAGTTAAAGGGGGGGGTCCTCTTTAATTTTATTGTGATCACATATGTGACAATATGAAGTACAGTTGACCTGACTAGAAATATATTGATACTCAATAACATCTGTGTTTTCATGGTGGTGATGATGAGACATTTTCAGTGTTTCTCTTTACTTCGGGACCAAATAATCTTTGACAGGAGAGAAATGTATTCCTTGTAGGTGCTTTTTAAGAAATAAACAACTTGAGGACAGTAAATCTAATTTGACAAACATATTTGAAGATGCAAACAAAATAAAAGACAACAATTTTAGTATTTGTATATTTTTATCAGCGCCTGTGGGCTACGAGAATCAACATTTTGTTCCTGTATACTCTGTTTGTGGATATGACTGTAAACTGAAGAGATAATGAGAATATTTGGAGTAGAAGTTGCTCCTTTTTGATGAAGATCTCTTTAAAATACTGAAAGTTGTAGCTCACCTGTAATAATACTGGAGAAATATGACCTATATTATGTTCTCCACGTCATCTTGTGTTTGTTTATTGTTGTCTTGCTGTAATGACTTTATTATAACCGTCATATTATCATCCTAAATTGCCATTTTTAAGATTCACATCCACTCTTTTTCTCCTCCTTTAGGACTTTTAGCCAAAAGAGGGCAGCTGTAGAGAGGGACTACGCCCAGGTAAGTAAATCTTAATCCTTTTGTCATCACTCACAGAGCTACTCACGCTTGGTTAACATCATCCCTGGCTCGCCTTGTCATTTGCGTTGCTAAAAATATAGTTTTTTTTAAACGATACTGTCCTCCAAAGACACCATATGACCGAGGGGGTTGAGGATGTGGCCCTAAGAAAGCTCTTTGTTCTCATGTGGTCAGATAGCTCAATGAATGGTAACCAGCCACAGAAAAAAACACCACAACACACACAGAGAAACAACATGCACTAGTGGTCGACGGGCTCGTTTCCTCCTCGCTGTGTTGTTTTTGCCCACAGCTTCCTGGAGACGTCAATCGACTGCTTGAAAAATCCCTCTCTGCCTCTCTTGGCTGTGTTCAGGTTTTGCAGCCCTGTGAGGAATGTCCACCGCCACTGTGAAGAGAGGGGGGGGGCATGTCTGTAGTTATCCAATGAGCAACCCCTTTTTTTTTTTTTTACATGTATGTTTGTTAACCTGAAGGGGTCCTTCGTAAAATGTGGCTCAAAAGAACAAAAAAAGTGCCCCCCAGGAATTGTGATTTTAAAATGAACCACACAATCTGTTTCATGAAGCCAACTGTGGAGCTAATGTGATCTGACTGAGTCAAGTCTGGTTTATTTCATGACTTTGAAACAAACCAGAGACATCAAGCGCTGAACACGTCAACTCACAGCAGAGAGCCAACTGAGAATATACCTTCTCTCTATGTGGTTTGTGCTCAGAAAGGCTTGTTTTCTTAAACAAATAACTCTATTAAATAATATTTAAGTTAAATTTTATCCTCTATAGGTTACATTGTCAACCAATTATGGGAATGAATGTTGAGCAAAAAGCTATAAAGAATAAAATAAATCTAATCATGAGTACTGTAAAACTGTAAAAAGCATATTTTTCCTGTCTTGTATATCTATCAAAGTGTCCAAAGCCTCCTGGAAAACCTGGAAATTGAGAGGCTAGTTTTCCAGTTATGGAAACACCTGGAAATTGATTCAATCACCAAATGTCGTTTAAAGATAATCTACGTTGTTCTGGAAATCTTTAATCGTATTTTTGGCTGGGCTATGTTCTGGTTAGAGGAAAACTGTAGTCAATTTGGAAAGTGGAAAAATCGGAGTGTCCCTTAAACGATGACCAACTATGGCTGAACACAGTTTGTGAGCAAGTGCTGCGTAGACAATCAACAATCAGGCTCTTGGATGATCGGTTGGATTTCTTGGTAATAAACACACATTGGGTCAAACATACACATTAAACTGATTACAGCCGGTCAAAACATCTGAGACGTAGGTACGTAGATCACTAAGCGCTCACTCTCCAAGTCAAGAGAAGCTAAAAAGGGGAAATAATGGGTTTCTGACTCCTGCGGTTGAATGTCTCTGACACCTGTTTGTACATTATTCATGTGACCTTGCATAAAAGATTTAAATAGTTTCAGAACAAGGAAGGAGAAGTAGAAGTACTACATTTAAGTGAGTGCTGTAAGAACTATTATTTAACTGAACCAGAGCAGCAACAAGAGCTAGAAAGTAGAGTCTTTGGGCTCAATTTTTACTGTAGTACACATCCTCCGGGACTAATTCCTGATTGGCGACATAGTCCATTTAAAATTGTGAGCATGTGTCTGGCAGCTGAGACGTCAATGTAGTTATCAGAGGGTCTATAAGCCGACTAGGAAGAGATTAAACAATGGAAAATCACATTCAGGTCTGTGCTGTCTTGGCACATTTTTAGGGGCAGGAAAACGAGCTTTACAAAAAGTGTATTTAACTATAGAGAGATTATTGTATTTATATGTAATTTATCTAATGGTAACCTCACATAATGCCACCTCATTTAAGTGTATATGGATGCAGTGAGCATGGTTAAAAAAAAAAAAAAAGAAGAATGCAACTGAGGCATCAGGGGAAGATCAGCCTGCAGGCGAGCTTTTGTAACCCCGTGCATGTGTGTTTTATTGGATATGCATGCCCGAGTTATACCGTTGTTTTGTTTTTGAAAGTCAGATTTCGTCAGAACTGAGCAACGCACAGAGTTTACTCAACATCTCGAGTCCTCCGCAGGTTATCAGAGTTTGATTTAAGGACTTCTTGTGGCATATTTCAGTATAGTTTCATCAAGACTCATTTAATTAAATCTCAAACCTTTTAAAACCACAATACTAACTATTGTGACAGACAATTTATGGACCAAACAATTCATTGATTAGTTTTCCTGTCACTCAGCTTTTACAATCTAAGAACAGCAATAAAAAGCCAAAACTATTTGATGAATTAATTAAATTGCTGATGAAAATTATTGTTAATTGGAGACCTAAAATTAAATACGTCTAATAAAATTTGTAGGTGAATATAATGGGATGTATTTTGTACTGTTGGAGCTTAAATTCAACAGCTACAATTAATGGATTAAACTGATTGACTGAACATATTTTAATAATCAATTATTTGTTTGAGTCAATTTACAAACAATATTTGCTGGTACAAGCGTCTTAAATGTGTTTTATATTAAAGTAAATTAAATATTTTGGGTTTTAGACTGTTGATTGGACCACCTTTGGACACTCTTATGGGGAAATCTTCCCAATTTTCTTACATTTCATTGACAAAATGATCAATAGGTTAGTGGAGAAATCAGTTGTCATCTGCAGTTCCTGCCCTGAAGTGAAGAAAATGTCTTCACTGTGTGCTTTTAGTCTGAACGGTGTTGTGTGTGTCTGGGTTTGTGCTGCCTGCTAGTTATGTGATCAATTAGACACCCGCTGCCAATGGTTGAATCAAAGTGGGTCAGAGTGTCTCTGGAACACTTCGTCCCCTTTGGTTACACCCCCCTCTCTTTCTTTACGCGCCTTTTTCTGGGTCTCTTACACCTGCAAGCTGCTTTAGCCATTAGCCGATTGCTATTCAACACACACACAGTGTGATAAAATGTCCTCCTCTGTGTGGCTCTTCCTCTGCCGTCCTCGCATCCCTCCTCCTCCTCCTCTTCCCTTGTTCCCATCACACTATTCAGGCGTGTCCGCTAGGCTAGCTCAGTTTGGCGAATATCTCTCTCTCTCTCTATCTGAATCCCACAATGGCCGGGTTTGTAGCGGCTTTGAAGCTTTGGCACCAACATCACCAAGACCAACGAGTTCAGAGCCGTGGCCTAGCCTGCTCCAGGACTGGATGACAGGGCTTGTCCTTTCACAGTGGACAGAGGAAGGATAGATGGGCTCATTTCCTTGATGGGCACTTGTTGTGGCCTAAACACAAACACACAAAAAAAAACATGAAGTGGGGGAGCCGGCTTTTATCTGAAAAAACGAGCGATATAAATCATTTTACACCCACGTATTTTATTTGTCTTGACTTATCGGTCTACGTTGACCTGTGTTGGGTTGTTTGTACCGGAGTTTAAGTCCTAATGATTCTCAACTTTAAAGTGATTGAGTAGTTTTATTGAGTGCACTGTGATTTTTCTCATTAATATAGAACCACCATGTTTCTACAGTAGCCCAGAACAAACAAATACTGGCTCTACATCACAAGAGTAACCCAAATCCTACACATTGGACCTTTTTAATGGTTGCAGGATTCATTTTTCCTGTCCAAACTGACAGCAAAGAGACTCCTTCTTAAAGCAATTTCAGTCTAACTGATAGGAAACACAAGCCACAACCCTCATTCTGTGGAAGAATTAGTTTAACTAAAGATTCTTCAGCAGTCTGACTTATAACTACTCCTTGGACTCGGTTAATTACAGACACCCAACAGTTCCCACCATGAGCAAGCACTTGGCGACAGCGGCAAAGAAAAACCTCCTTTTTAAGAGGCAGAAACTTCGAGCGGACCCCGACTCTAGGCGGGACCAGTTGGGGTTAGAGAGAGAGAGAGAGACGAGTATCTTCCAAAGTTTCACTCTATTAATACTAAATTCCCTCTTTGGGTGTAACAGACACTCAGTGTGCTGAGCTGCAGCAGAGGGATAGTAACACAAAGCGGGAAATTAATACATTTGTACTGTTCACATGCAAGAGGCAGGTTACTGAGGGCAGTTTTAGTCCCCTGCACGAGTCAAACCCCAATAATACTGGATCCTACAACTCCCACAATGCAACACAAGAACCCTCCCTCCCTAGTGAAACTCCCAGTCACCCAGTTTTTCTCTCTCTTTTGTTTTCTTCATTGTGGTTTTAAACCAAAATAATTATGCTGATGATTTCTGTCTTCTAAACAATTTTGAGTGCGAAACAGAAAAAACCCAAACAACATAATTTTATACCGACTACAAAAACAAAAAATGTCAATTAAGCCAATTAGCTGTAGCTTTTTATAGTCTTGCAGCGCACTAACTTAAGACAAAATGATAAGTCAATCCCTCTTAAATCTTCTGCAACGTGCTAAAAAATATTCCAGCTCTCTTCATTAACAGAAGTACATTTCTCAGACATACCAAACATGCACTCAGAAACACCAGAGATATCCTCCTTACCCTTTTCTCTCCCCCCCTGTTTACTCTGTCCTGCTATTTTAGCTCTTCAAAGGTTAACCTCACTGTTGGCCGAGGTGGAGGAACCTAATATATCTCCAGGGGAGAATGTGGTTTAAATAAATTACATTTTTCTTCTAAAAATGAGCCTACGTCAGCATTAAAAACCAGCAAGTGAGCCAACCTCTAGACTCTGGCTAACAGGTGAACGGGTCCATGCAGAGTTGAATCACATTGAACTCTTCTGACTGTAACCGGGAAGTACTTTTTAATGTGAATGGATTTTAAATGAGTCTGGTGTGTTTCCATATTAATGCAATTGTTGACTTTTTACTGACTTTACTCTTTGTGTGCTTCTGTCTACACACTCTGGCTGCTCCTGGTGGTTTATAGGACAAGGTCAGGGGGGGACACAGTCTTCCGAGCGTGTCCTATGTGAAGATGAGACACAGGAAATGTGTGTTGGTGGCAAAAGGTGAAAGGTCATCCCTGCTTTTGTCTCTCTCTTCTTCCCTTCCAGGCCCTCCAGAAGTTGGCCAATCAGTATCTAAAGAGGGAATGGCCCGACAGTCTGACAGAAGAACAAGAAGATCACAGGTAACGTCGTTATCGGGCGTTTTCCCTCTTAAATGTTGTATTTTCTTGGAAATACATGGCATTTAATCATAACCAGTATGTCTGTTTTTTATTTGTTTATGTTTAGGAACATGTATTGTGTATGGAGGGCCTATTTGGAGGGCACGGTCCAGGTCACCCAGTCCAGAATCAGCGCCTGCGATAACTACAAAGTCCAGGTTGCCGATCCAGCCAAGACGGTCAGGCTGCAGAAGGAGCAGCAGCTGAGGAAGGTAATACAAGTCAATATTCCACTCTTTGTGTCAAAGTCTCAATCTGACATGATACTGATATTGTTCAGATAAAAACAGGCGTACAATATTCTACTTTGTTGCATAGATATTATATTTTATTGTATTTACTTTAGTCTTTGCACTACATTCCAATGCCAATTTGAATTTCCTCTACAGGGGATCAATAAAGGAACATCTTATCTATCTTATCCATTTATCCAGTAATTAAAAATGAGTACAGCCACAAAGCATGTGTTACCCGGTCCCTCCAGGAAGTTGAAGTGATGCAAATAAGTTTCACCCATCAGTCTCCCAAGCAAAACGTTGAGCCACATGTTCCCAAACTACCAGCTGTATTATTCTAACTGGAACAACTTGCCTTCGATTTTAAATTATATATGAATGAACTTTTGTTGTTGTTTTCACTTTCTCCTTCAATCTGTAGAGCTGTAGTGCAACTAGACCGCAACAGATCCAGACTCAGATCCAGTGTCAGTATATTACTCTCCTCTGACAGACGTTATAATAATTATGATACTTTGTCCTCTGGTCAGCGTCACTTCAGAATAATTTCCAGGCAGAACTTTATGTAAACAACCAGTGTAATACAGATAAACAGAGCAATAAACAATCAGCCAATCGAGGACAGAAGTCTTGCCTCTCTTATCATTAATGACCACTATCAGCTCAGTATCTGTCCCACACTGATTTGGAGGACTGTGCTGGTCTGGAAGTTAACCCCCGTTTCCTGATCATAAGGTCTGAAGCTGCCTCGAGTCGGTGCTGAAACGTAACCAGCGCTGCTCTCTGGTTTCTGCTGGCCACGTTCCTGCAGCCCACAATGCTGCTCTTGTTCACCCTCACCTTTTTAGAAGATGCCATTACAGCTGCTGTATCCCACACCGCATTATGACATCACTCACGCCACGTCCTCTGTAGATAACGTTGTGAGGAAATTTGCATATTTTCCAAGCGGTGCATTGCCAAGAATGATAATTTGCATGATTTTTGGTTAAAAGGTTTTCCCAGGTGTTTCACTTTGTGTGTCTCCAACTGACCGTCCGCAGTGTATTGATCAGCTGACGGTGGTTCAAGCTGAGCTGCAGGAGTCGGTGAAGGAGCTGACCAAGAGCAGGAAGAAGTACCAGGAGGCTGAGACGATGGCCCAGGCTGTCCGAGAGAAGGCAGAGCTGGACGCCAAGTATGAACCACATTACTCTGCTATCTTTGGTAGATTATAGTGATGTTATTCATAGGTTTACAAGGGGAAAAAAGGTTGATTCTCGCTACCTAGTATTAGCCTTTAAAACTGTCACTATAAAGTGACCAAGAGCAAATACATTATACAAACAACTGCAGGTGAAACCAGCAGGGTTCCCAATGCATCCTGGAAAAGTTTTTTAGTCATGGAAACACGTGGAAATTGATTAAAATGACCAAATATCCTATAAATCATCCACTCAGATTGCCTACATAAACAAAGGTGCATATTTTGGTTTTGGTTTTCAACTTTGAGTCTATTTATTTCAAACCACTGAGAGAAATTCTCCTATATAGATGCACATAACATTAAATGTGTTTTTGCTGCGGTTGATAAAAACATGCACAGTGATGTTAATTGTTCGTGCAATGAACACTTTGACTTTCCAGAAGATGAATTTTCTGTAATGAAACAAATTCTACTCGATTTGAACTGTTACTTATGAGCTGTGGCCAAATTAATGTCGTCAATTTGCCCGAAACTGCAGCTTATGTGACCGTCTTTAAAGTGCTGGATTGTGAAGAACAATGTCCTGGAAAATGATTTGTTAAAAAGAGCTGATTAATCAGGAACTTATATTGATGATTGATTAATCGTGTCAGTCATTTTTCAAGCTGAAAGGCCAAACATTTGATGGTTATAGGTTCTTGTATGTGAGGATTTATTGCCTTGACATTATAGTAAGTTGAATATCTTTTGGTTTTTGGACTTAAGTCACCTTCTGCTTTGGGATAACGGTGAAGCTTCAGACACTCAGACCTGTTTTGAGACGTATAAAAAGACTCCACTGTTGTCTGATATGTTTCTTTTTTTCTCCCTCATTGAAAAATCCAGTATCTGTAAATGTACAGATATTTTTTTATTTCACAAGTTTTCTCTGTGCACTGAAGATTCCACATCACACTTGGTGATTGGTTTCCAACATACTTCATGCTTGTAGATACACGTTTCAAACTCTTAAGATTCAGGGTGAGCCGATGAATGTGAGATCAGTGCTCTGGTGTCAAACCCTGCACAGTGAGGCTCAAACAACTGAAGGAACAACAAGCAAAACGCACGTGTTAGTGAAGGGGAGGTTATTAATAATCGTCTCTAATCAATAATGGAAACGGTTATTCGTTGCAGCCCAACAAACGACTAATATTCAGGCTCTACGCAGCCGTCTCTTCTCTCCCTCATTCTCAACACTTTGTCCTGGCACAATATGAACAGCTGGCACTTTGACTCACCACATTGCAGACATTTTTCTGCCCATTAGGAAAGTTTATTATGGAGCTGAGGCACAGTTCGGTGAAGTTCTGCTGTTGGACAGGCGTAGCAGCTGGATTGGCACTCATTTCTAATACTACAAATATTACTTTCTTCTGGCCAGTTGTGTACACACACACACACACACACACACACACACACAGTCTGTTCATCACATCCCTTTAAATGTCTGTAGAGGTAAAACCCTCCTGTGACTGGAGGTCATTGAGGTCTAAAGCAGTAACGTCGGATAGTTTCACAACTGTTTTTGTCTGTGCGTTTATGTGCATTAAGTCAGTTTTTGCTATTTGAAAGTAATATATTGACTTTAAACAGTCATGACAGTTGAATAGACAGTTACATAATTTAAATACCTTAGATGCTTCCTGCTGAAGAATTTGTCCGTTCTCTGCTGACCTGAAAATAAGACTTATTCTGCTCATGTGCAACTACAAGAAATTTTAATATGATCCGCTATTGATATTTTATAGCTATGAAGTAAATGTCAGACAGTTTTAATTGATTTTTATTTATCTTTTTTTTGTTTTATTCTTCTCCTTAATATTTTTTTTTATGTGTGAAGCACATTAAGTTAAATAAAATTACAAATAAAGTCTGATTGAGTGATTCTTCTGTTCAGGTCCAAGCTAAGTCTCTTCCAGTCCAGATCCAGTCTTCAGAGGGCGAGCGTGAAGGTACGAGATCTCCGACGTTCAAATAACTTTTCTCTGTGTTTTCTGACGTTTCTGTGCCGCAGTGTCAGCAGTGTGAACTTTTACTTTCCAGCTGAAAGCCAAGAGGAGCGAGTGCAACTCCAAAGCCACGCATGCCAGAAACGACTACCTTCTCACGCTAGCAGCCGCTAACGCTCACCAGCAGCGCTACTATGACACAGACCTCATCGACTGCATCAAGGTTGGGGTCATACACACTGAGTGGGTGGGTGGGAGATTTGACTGTGACCTTTAAAACATGTGTCTGTCTGCAGATCTTAGATGGCAAAATCTACGAGCAGGTAAAAGATTACCTGGTCTCACTGTGTCAGACTGAGCTGGAAAGTTCCCAGGCTGTCCACAACACCTTCAACAGCCTCTTGAACAGCTCCAATGGGGTAAGTCTTCTCTCTTCTGTATCCATCATGAGGATGTCCTGATCAGTTGTTGTGGCTCCGGTGTAGGTACCCTTGGTGCTTCCTGCCCGATCGGTACTGCGCAGGTGCAACTCTCAACAGAGATTAGAAGGAAACCAGATAGCTTCACTAGTTTTTTACAAGTTAAATGATCCAAATACTGAATGTCCTGATGTCAAAAACATTAAGTTGATCAGCATATACTATTGTTTTGATATAAATGAAGATTTAAAGGTATAATATGCAACATTTAGGCATTAAAAGCTGTCGTAAATTGAGTTTTTATCCAGTTTGAGAAACACTGATTCTTAAGGTGGGGCTGCTTTATTCAGTGTTTTTAATGGGTTTTTACGACAACTCCCATGATCCCACGCTACTTTACGACGTCACCAAACTTTCTAACTTTTGTTATTGTTGTGTTGTGAGAGAACCACCGGCGGCAGAATTAAAAAGGGAGAATGCAACTCCTGAAACTGACGCGTCGCTGTGAGCCAGAGACAACAACCAGAGCTTTACTGTCACTGCATTTAATCCGGTTTATTTTACCTGATGCGGCTCTATTAAAACCTCAGGATGGATCTGTACTCCATCAGTATCACTCAGTGAACTCCAACTGCCTCACCGACCGCTAATTAATTGGAAGGTTTGAGTTACCTCGGCGCTCCTCGGTTACAAGCTCTCGAGCCGCCGTTGGCCTCTTTTTTTTTTTTTAGTCTCTGTTGTTCAGGTCATCTTGCCTTTCTGGAGCTGCGGTGGCATTTTGTTTCTGCTCGGACCAGAATATGAACAAATCATTAGCGAGGGAAGCAGTGGGTGCAGCGGTTTTCAACAGCGCTCACATTTCAGCCCATGTGCTTCCTGTGTCAACACAACTCCCTCCTGAAACTGATCTCATGTGTACTTTGTTTAATGTGACATGTGTCTTTATTATGTTGTGTTTTAGGGTCTAAATATAGTTTTTTAAAGATCTGTTTCCCTGTGCAGCATTAAAAAAAAATCCACTTCTGGCTCTGCTGGTCTAATGGGAGCAACATAATCGCTCTCAGATGTTTCTAATGTGTTTTCAAAGCAATGAATGAAATGTTTGAATGATAACGATGCTGTTACGCTTTAATGGGATTGGGTTATGATTATCAGGCACTTATCACTCCCAGTGCACTTTCATTTGATAAGATGTTTTGTATTGTTTGTTTGTCTGATTCTTTAACTCGCCGGTCTTTAGTTTCACAGCAGTAAACTGGCAGTACAGCGGTGTTGGGAATATTTAAGGTTTGATTACTGCAGTAACACTTGTGGCAGACAAATCTCTTCCTTGTTATCAGGACAGGACGCACACTGACAGAACATTACTATATGGTATTATAAAGTTAACATAAATGTGGATTAAATCACTAAATACAGAACTGATAACATAGAATTATCTTTAGAAACCTTTTCATTCTGTTTTATAAGAATATGTAGAAATATTGAAACGTCTATGTTTCAGGATGGTTGGGTGTGTTTATGAATATTGACATTAGGTAGAATTATTTTAACTTTATTCACGTTATTTGTTGAATAAGTCATTCAGACACATCTGTATTTCTCTTCAGATTTCTCTCAGCAGCTGGAGGTCAATGTTTGTTGTATTTGAAAGGTTAACTTCTGTTAGGATTTGCTGCTATACAAATACAATTAAAGTGAATTATTTAATGGTATTTTTACAGATAAAGTTATATTAAACTGTTGGGTATCCCATACAGGTCATTATTGTTCATTTAAAACCCGACTTTTTCAGTCTCATACTGCCCCGGGTCGTAACACACTGCTGTGAAACTAGAGGCCTTTTGAAAGAACTAAAATTAAAATGAAGGAACGCTGAGCAACATATCACAATAAAGGAATAAAGCTGCATGAAATAAAATCTACTAATAGTTTATTTTGAATAATTTAGTCGTATAGTTGCAGATCGGTGTTAAAATGCATAAAGACTGTAATTAAAGTGTATAACTGTGTTACAAAAGTAGGTTTACTCATTAATTTCTTCATCTTGTTTCCTTAAAACCACATATATGTAGGTACTGCAGGAGTTTCACCAGCAGCTGTTTGTACAGAAGAACATCATGTTTCAACAATCCCCGGACTTCTTGTTCCAGCCCAGCGACACAGATACGGTAAATCCTGATTATTTATTTATTTATTTATTTATTTATAGATAAATTCATAAAATGTCAAATGTGAACGTTATCTGCTCGACAGATTACGGTTCGATTTGTTTAGACTTCATCCCCAAAATCAGTTCATGGGATTGTTCCCGACATGATCCACCTGCTAAACATCAGCATGTTAGCGCTGTGTGAATGTCAGCATGCCGATGTCAGCATTTAGCTTAAAGCACTGCTGTGTGCAGCCTCACAGTCACTCTCAGCTTTGTCCTCTACTGTGCAACAAAGCAGAGATACCATATAAATCTTTAAAAAAATATTAGTTTCTATTTTTAGTCAGCACGGGAAAAGAGATTATTTCTCGTTCGGTTAATTTTATATACAGATTTAGCTGTTTTTAGGACTGTTTTGGTTTTTGTATCCGTAAGACTGAACCAGAAGAAACTAATAAATCACTTCCACCTGATAAGATCTCTTCCTTGGTTTAGGAATTAAAAATAGATTAACCTCTCCAACAGATAACCCCTACTTTTAATTTGTTGTTGAGCCTTTTACTGACCTGAACTGAAGGATATACTTACAATATAAAGATATTTTAATTGTTCTTCAAAAGTCCTAAATACAGTGCACATTTATCTTAATCCTGTTACATTAGTTAACCAGATTTATGTGAGTTATAAAAATGAAAATAAATATACGTGCAGCAAACATGTCTCTTCCAGCACAGATAGCATTTAACAAACAGTGTCAATATGTAAACGTAATGACGTCAACAACAGGACACGAACTTTGACCAGTTTGCAAACATACAGCATTTCCTTCCTTGTTTGAATCGTTATCTTTAAGATATAGAATATATATATAAAGCCATGTGCAGGGTTTTTAAACACATGCAGTTGCACATTAAAGTGAATAACATAATTATTTCCTTTTTATCTCGATTACTGTAAGAAAATTGTAAAATCCTTCCTCATGGTTTAATACTGTACTTGTCCCATTACTCCCTGACATATTTCAAACTGATCCACTGTCAATTTTTGGGGAAAAAGACCGTTGTTTTGTTCTTTGTAGACAAATTTTTGTTGTACAATAACGGCGAGTGTCGAGCTAACTGACAAACCCTTTGTAATTCCTGTGACAAGCTTCCTTTAAAATGAAAGTAAAAGTAAATGTGAAGCTGCAGCAGTGGTAAATACATTTATTTATTTCCAGGAATAAAAGTATCCAGGCTCCATAACAGCTCCCCAAAACCAGAACGTCTCGATCACCCGTGGTGGCTGGCTGTTAGTTTAGGAAGAAGGGGTTTAAGAAAATATTGATATACACCTTTCTTACGGTATGGCAATATATTGAATGGTTACCCCTGTATAGTTATATGTGCTGATACACAGCCCTGTTAGGAAGCACTTGATACGCAGCAGACGATCATATTTGGTTGTGGGAAGCCAAATTTACTATCGTGATCAATATTTAATTAACTATGCAGCCGTATTTCATTGTGTATCCCACCAGTACCTGAAGCAACATGGCTCCATCAGTGCAGACCTTCAGTCAATCTCCTGCTATGGTTTAACCAAAATTAACAGCTCATCCACACGAGCAAATCCCACTCATGAGCCATAATTCACATCCAATCTGTTCTGCCCTGCGCCTCGGACTGCACACCTGTACTGTCTCATGAACTGGAATCTATTCCCAGACACTTTTCCACTCATTCTGGGCATTTATATCATTTTCACCCTCTAATAAAACATGAAATATCAGCATAAATGTCAGCCCCCAAAATATTTTATCATCAGCCTTCAGCACAAACCCCCGGTGTGCAGATCTGCCGGTGGGTTCTCGATGGCTGCTGGACGTGAAGGTGAATGCGTTGCAGTCCATGTCACACATACTTCTAACCCGTACTAACCCAACGCTGCCGGTCCTCCTCTGCAGTCGCCCTCCGCTCCGCCGGACAACACTGGACAATTTGTTCAAACTGCAAACGCTGGCGTTGTTTTCATTGGAAGTCAAACAAGCAGCAGCCTGTTCCTAAAGAAAACATTAGTGGTGGAGAGCCTCCCCTTCCCCTCCCTCCCACACCCTTCCCCCCTCACCCTCCCCTCCCCTCCCCTCCCCATACCACTTGCACCAGACAGAGGGATCCGGTAAGGAATAGAGCTGAACCGGGGAGGGAGGGGCAGGAGGTAGGCCGAGCCCTGTGAACGGCCCAGCTGTGAAAAGGAGGCATTGTGAGTGGGCCTCATCAGAGTGCACTGAGACACACACACACACACACACACACACACACACACACACACACACACACACACACACACACACAGCTGTTGTCATGTTGAAACCTCTGAACTCAAATTTTAGGGGTTTCCATTTTAATAAAGAGAGAAAAGTAAAATCTTTGGGGTTTGCAGGTTCCTAAAGATGAATTTGTGCGACCTGAATAAAACCGTCAGAGTTGAACCTGTGTGAATGTACAAAAGCACTTTTTTAATCTCGTGCAATATGTAAAGAGGAAGTTGGCACATGGACGTAACAGAAATGGTAAACAGAACATACCCTGACTGGTGGTTCTCTTAACTGGCTTATTGGGAAACCACAAGGTCCTCTTTAAAGGTGCTCTGGTGGGTCATTAAAGGTGCATTAAGCAATGTTTTATTTTAGAAACATACTTTTACAAAGATTTAGTTGTGTTTCTATATGGGGGTGATTTACAGTTAAGGGGTGTATCATTTGGACAAACAACCTCTTTGTGCAGAGAAAAAAATATTATAAAATATGTGTTAATTTGAATTGCTCAAATATTGCCCCCAAATACAGATATTAGGAAATGTTTTCCATGAAAGATATTAATGTTGTGAGGGTCTGATTTCCAATAATCGGTCAATATCAACTCTCATATATCAGTACAGTATCTCTGTATCTGTAAAACAGTCTCAGTTTAATAATGAACAAGACCATCAGTGATTGGCCACTTCTATATAGTTGTTATTGATGTCTGCCACTGGGTCAGAGTCGGTCGAATGAACGAATCGAATTGAAATCAATGAAACGAGGCGGTGGATGCACTACGGCTTTTATCCACAGGGGTCGCCAGAATCAACACAAAATAAAGCTTTTAATATTGTTCACCTGCTCTCCTTCAATGTCTCTCTTTCTCTCTCTCTGTGTGTGTGTTTGTAGGTGATGCAGCTGCAGAAGGAGAGTGGAACGGCGGAGGAGCACAGCCTGGATAAAGAGGCGAGGAAATGGGCGAGTCGCGTGGCCCGAGAATACAAGAGCGTCATCCACACTCAGAGGGTGAGCACCGGATCAAACTGAAGATTCGGGAGTCTTCAGAAGTCTCCGCCTTTTACTCCACTGTTCATTATATAAAGTAAAATAGGATCTTAGCATTACTGTTGTAATACAGTTGTAATCATTATCATTTAAAACCATCTCTTTTCTTTGTCTTTGCACCCTAAGACGATGTTTTATACACCTCAAAAGATTAAGACTAAGCTTATAAAAAATGCCTTTAAACAGTGGTGGTCAGGTACTTCATATAGTAATAACATTACAAAGTCCACCAGTCACAGTTACAGTCGACTGTCTCCAGTAAAACAACCTCTTAAACATCATAAATGGAAAAACCTGGTTTCTGTGATTGGAGAATTAAAGACACGTTTCAATAATACAGATTTCTGATGCAGGTTTCACACCTCGATGCACCGTCAGTGAAATAGTTTCCTCTGTGATCTTTCAGTGAAGTGTTTTAAAGTCTGTCACATGATTACAGAGCTGTAAAGTACATAAAGTTACCTGTCGAGTTTTCCTTTTGGTTCTACGGGAAAGTTGTCGGGGCCATAAATCCGTTTATTGCTCATTTAACACGTCATAATTTCTCTGTTGTAATTTCCCACCAGGAACATTATCCGTGATAGTAAACAATACTATAGTTTTACACCACAACAGAGTAACATAGAGTCAACTTATTTATTTTTCTTATTATTGGCATCATCATGCTGTAAACTTTGGACCTACAGTTCCTATAATTTGGGGGCTGTTGGAAATGTAAACTTTAAGCACAATATAATATTGCCATGGAATCAAGATAAGAGATAAAATAAGATAAGATAGACTTTATTGATCCCACACTGGTTAAATACACTTGTTACAGAAGCTTTAGATAAGGAAAAAAAAAAGAAATACACATTAAATAACAAAATAAAATAGAAAAATACAAGATATAAAGAAAAAAAAGAATTAGGTTTGTATGTAAAGTATATACAGCTTTTAATACAGATGTGGTTTAAGTAGAATATTGCACAATTACAGTAAGAGGTGTAAAAACAGTTGTTCTGGATACAAAATATACATATACAGCAGTAATTTAACAGAAGAATAAAGGTTAGACGGGGCTATTAATATACAGTACAGGTCTAATATCAGTTTAGCTTTGTTGTTTTTGAGTATATTTGTTTACATTTTGGCAAATTGGCACCATTTAAAGTGCAGAATAACAGATGGATGTACAGACAAGTATCAATGAATCGCTTTATATATGAAAGAAAACTTAAAAACGCGATGAGTCTTTTTTTTTTCTATTTAATCAGGTTTATGATATTTATAACTAAATATCTTTTCCACTACACTTTGGCCGTGAAAGCAACAAGGTCGGTTTGATAATCATAAACCCGGAGATCATTAAATCATAAAGCAATACGAGTTCGTCACCTCACATCGACCTCTCTTCCCCCGATTTATTTTGAAAGTCAAGTGGTGACGATAAGTGATTGCCGACCCCATCAGTGACGTTTTCCTTTTCCAGTCCACCGAGATGATTTAAATGTTTCCATTAAGCAGGAAGTGAGTCACTCTCTCTCCAGTAAAGCTCAATCAAAGGTCCTCGATTAATGACTTTATTGTTTCCACAGTTTGTTGTTTACACATTCTAGATGTTTGTTTGTCTGTTAGCGGTTGTTGTTTCATTGTTTGTCCTCTTGTGTGATTTTGTTTTCAGGCCCTGGAGGAATATGGGACACAGGAATCATCAGAGCAAAACAACAGTGAGCTGGAGACCAAGATGGAGGTGGCCAGGCAGAGTCTTCGGAGGGCAGAGGTAACGTGTGTGTGTGTGTGTGTGTGTGTGTGTGTGAGATTGAGTAACAAATGGATTTCTCTGTTTTCTCAATCAGTGTCCTGTTACCTAAAGTGGCCCCGGTACTCCGCCTACTGGTAAAAAAGAGGAAATGACTCAGATTAGAGTCTAATTCTAACGTACCAAAGGTCAAAGCTGATCATCAATAATTAAAACCCTCATAGAGTGTATGAGAATTGATAATTGAGTCATTGATTAGGTCATTTATAAAGGACAAATACGTATATTTGCAGATTGTGCAACAGTTATTGTTACGTCTCGAGTATATGAGAGTAAATTTGACTGATTGTTACATAAGAATGATGGAAAAAAGCCTGCTGGTCCAGGCCTGGAAGAGTCCGTAGTCGGGATGGTCTCTGATGATCCTGTTGGCTTTACTGTTTTAAATCTCCTGGATGGAAAGAAACTCACATCCACTGTGGCTCTGATCTGCCCCGTTTTGTTGAGATATTATTGAGTTTATATCTATTTATTTGCTGTTGTAAACATTATAGCTGCCGCTCTAGAAACAACAGTTTAGTTTGGCAGTTCAAACTAATCAAATGTGAGGATTTTACAGCTGTTTTCTCCTTTAAATAATTGTAAATGAGCGTCGGTTCGGCAACTTCACATTGTCACCTTGGGCCTGTTTTTCACTATTTTCGGACATTTTATAGATTAATTAACTAATTAATCTATTAATCTAAATGTATTATAATGAAGAGACAGATTAATCGATAATAATAATAATCGTACGTTGCAGCCGTGAGAACTTAGATAGATTTTAAATGTCTTTGTTTGGTGTGTTTTCCTGTTTCCTTTTAGTTTATTTAATTTATTGTCTCATCGTGTTTGTTTATTTGTTTATGTTGTTATTTATTACTCAGACGGTGAAAGTGAAAGCAGAGGCCCGTCTGGACTTACTGAGGCAGGCGGGTGTTGCTGTTGAAACGTGGCTGAAGAGCGCCATGAACCAGGTGATGGAGGAGCTGGAGAACGAACGCTGGAACAACCTCAATACTCATGATCCTTCACTCTCTGTAAGACCCACAATGCTTAAATGCTCATTTTAAACCCTGTATTTTAAGATTTGAGTATAAGAAAGTTTCTCTCTCCACCTCCGACTGTCACACGAAGTAACGTCTGTCATATATTTCTGTAGGGAACAGCCGACCTGGAGCGAGAGGACGAGGAGGAGATGGAGGACAGCGGTGAGGTGTTGGACGACAGCAGCTCCAGCCCCTCCAGCACCTTGAAAAACTATCCTCTCACCTGCAAAGTCCTGTACTCCTACAAGGTACCAGCAGAATACAGTAATTACTGCTGTCTGTGGACCTGCTGTTGAAGCTGTTGTTCCCTCAAGGTTAAAGGACACTTTATTTGTACACAAAGGTAGATTTTGTTTGCAGTAAAAGACAAAAAGAGCTCAAAAATCAGGACTTCCAAAGAGAAATCTATATAAAATACCACTAAAATAAATAATCAATAGAATAAATAATGAAAGAATAAAAAAAGTTACTACAATTTATTAATCTGAATCATCACTTCTGGAACAACTCCACACTTTATGAAGCTTACCCACTAGTTGTTGCTGCCCTCTGGTGGTCGTGAGTGTTAATAACTAGATAAATTTGTCCCGTCTGCAGTCTTATTTTAGGTGACTGCCTCCAGTGTACAAAACGTGTATTACATCAAATAGGCAAACAAAGACATAAACATCAATATAACTAAAACAAATCAACACTACAACAAACTGCAGCCTCCAAACGAACTTAAAGTTGAATCAACGCCTCTAAAACAGGACGGTTGTATTAGACTGAATTACTCTGAGCTGCTAATGAACTGACAGCTTCTCTGGTTGTTGTCACCTCGTTTACACCTTTTTGTTTTGGCACAAGAGCAGAGGTGTAAACTGACTAATTCAGAGAGATCAGCACCTTTTCTCCGCCCTCCTTTCACTTTATTTCACACTGATGTTCTTCCTTGTTTCCAGGCGTCTCAGCCGGATGAACTGACCATCGAGGAGCAGGAAATCTTAGAGGTCATTGATGATGGAGACATGGAGGACTGGGTCAAGGTACCTATTCCCACATTTGAGCTGTGAACTTTATAGCAGATTTCAAGAGTTTTCAGAAGACTTTTTGATGATGATTGTCGTGGATTTTCCTACCAGTCGTCATCGTGAGTGTGTATTTCCTACATTTCCAGGCCAGAAACCGCAGCGGGCAGGTCGGCTACGTCCCAGAGAAATACCTGCAGCTGCCTTCCTCTAACAGCCTACTGAGCATGCTGCAGGCTCTGGCCGCGCTGGACGCCAGATCCCACTCCTCCAGTAACTCCACTGAGCCTGAAACCGAGCTACCAACCGGCTCGGTCAACGGAGACGCCAGCGGTGAGTCTACTAAAACAAAATACAGACGATACTTTAGTGTGTAAGGATTGCTCAACAACCTGTCCTCCTTCTGTTTTCAGTGTCATTTGCGAAGGCGCTGTACGATTACGCCGGACAAACGGAGGACGAGCTGTCGTTTCCAGAAGGCGCGATCATCCGCATACTGAGCAGAGAGACGCACGAGGACGACGGTTTCTGGGAGGGAGAGTTCAACGGCGTTGTCGGCGTCTTCCCCGCCGTTCTGGTGGAGGATCTCACCGGCGCCAGCGAGAACGGAGACGGACAAAGAGACGGCAGTGCACAGGTGGGTTGATGTTGTAGCACAGAGGCATATTTTTTTAGATTTTTGGTCCCGTATTTATTCTGAATCTTTCTAAAAGTTAAACTATAAGACTAAAAATAATCGTATTAGAGTTTTTATGAAGCTTACTTTGAACAAGTAGACGGACTGACGCCACAGTTCTTACGTCACACTCTAATATAATTAATAAAATATAGAAATTATGATGATTGTTTGCAGTTTTTCTGACAGTTTCAGTTCTAATTATTAATGGAAACATTCGAAATGCAGAAAAAAAACACTTTTTATATGTTTAAGTTTTATATAAGTTTAGTTTTTAGTCAAAACTGCTCAAATATTTGCACACTTTTTACTTTTTACTTGCATTTAGTGTATGTACTTTCCATTTATAGTCTTATATTTTCTATTATATTTTGTAATATTCTTATTTTGTGATCTCTTATTGCACTTCCACTTCTGTACTCTTGCACTACATTCCCTTAAAGGAACATCTTATCTTATACGTATAAGTGAATTGTACAATAAGTACATACACTGTAAAATAGTAGTTAGCCTCACATTGTTTAATACCTGCAATAATTTTACAGTTATATCGCACTTGAATAAATTATGTTAAAAGCAGAATAATTAATAAATAACTGTACTCATTCTGCCTTTTAATTATTAACCTACAATTTGCATTGAATGCACCTTGTGTAAATAAACTAATCTGCACTTTATCCGATCAGTTCTGTAGAAGATATAAAAGTTTATTTTTTTTATTACTGCTGATGTTGTCGGTTGTTACTCAAATAAACAAACTGTTACTGCTGTTTTTTCTTAATAAATACAGTCTCTAGTTGGCCAACAAAGCTAACGTGACCTAACTATCGTTGTGTATTTTCATATTTCTCCTCCTCTCCAAGGCCTCCCCCTCCCCTCTGGCCCAGTGCGACCGATCCCCTCGCAGTCCCTTCCAGCCGGGGCCTCTCCACAGCAGCCCCCTTCAGACGCCCACCATGTCCTCTCCTCAGTCGAGTCCCTGCAGCGCCACGGCCTCTCCCATTGGCCGACCGCCGTCCTATCACAACGGACACCACAGGCCGCCACCGGCGCCACACAAAAGCCCCTTTCAGAGTAAGATTTGTCTGTGTTTAAGCAGTCGGAGTACAGATGGAGACGACTGTCACGACTTAAACTGTTTAATAATCTGTGTTCTCGGTTCAGGTCCAGCTCAAGGTTCCCCTCAACCTCCCAAATATCCAGAGAGCGGCTCCAGCACCATTCGACCTGTGAGGAAACACACACACACACACACACACTTTGTGTTTCAGTGTGTGTTAGAGCGACCACCTAGCCCGCAGTGACCTTTCAAAATAAAAGCAGATAAAATATTAAACTAAGAATAAAGACTGGAAGTCTTTATTCCCCGTATTCATGTTCACAGGCCTCGGGGAATATTAACGCGTATGTGAAACAAGTTTTATAAAGCCTTATGTGATGTCACTCAAGTGATGTCATTTGAGTCAGCGTCGTTCGGGGGCTGATGGGGGAAAATAAAACCGAGGTTGTGGAGTCAGAAGAGAGCTGACCTCTGTAGTCCTCATCCCTGCTTGAGGCGACAGTAGCTGCTACTAGCATTATGTCCAACTAAGTAATATTTAGATGCTGCGACAAACAATTATTATCATTATTGATTATTATTATTATTATTGATTAATCTGACTGATTGATGGATGTCTCCAGGTTCGTGCTGCTCCTCCGCCCCCGAAGCAGCATCCTCGTGGGCAGGTGAAGCGACGAGAGGAGGTGGAGATCACGCTGGTGTGAACGGCGGCACCCTGGCGGCGGCGGCGACTCTGTTCAAACCAGCTGGGACTTGGCGGCTTTGTGCCTCTAAACGAACTCCCCAAAGGAACCCGAGGAAACTTTTAAACCCCCTGAAGACGCCTGGAGGACAGAAGAGGCCCTAAACTTTGTCCTCCGAGGGTCAGTGTGCTGTGGAGGAATATTGTGCCTTTCAATTAACTCCTTTAATTTCCTCTCAGCTGTTCCATTTCTCTCCTATTTGACCGATAAATAGGGCAGATATTGTAATTATTGTAATCTATTATTGATAACGGACAGAATATCTGCTATTAGTATCTTCGAATATCAGTCCTGGTGTTGGTTTTCCACAATGTTCACGTCTGTCGCTCATAGTAACGGATATAGTGATAACAGATAATGTGAGAAATTAACAGAGAAGTTATTATTTATTTGTGGAAATCCACAATTAAATAGGTTTAATATTCCTTTAACTTTTAAACCAACCAACAAACACAACCAGCATTCAACCTCATAAACTTTTCAGCTACTCAAGAACAACAAAATAATACTTTAAAATAAATAATATATGAATATAAAGATAATTATTCCACGTTAAAGTGAGAACGGTTATTTTCAGCATTTGTCCAAAATGGACGATTCTATCGTAGCTTATTAGCTATTAAACTTCCTCTGTCGGGGTAAAAACACGAGTTATATTGATTAGGGATGCACAATATGGAGGTTTTGTTTCAGTTAATCAATAATTATCTGCTTCTAGTGGCCGATACTGACTAGATAATAGATTGTTTCACATGTTTGTGATTTAAAAGGACGTTCATAACCTTTAGTTTCTGTTTCTGTTTAAACTACATTACGATTGTTTACACAACAAAAACAAACAGTTCTTTAATTTGTTCAATAATTCAAAATAAAAGATTATTGTCAACCGATCATTTATCGGCTATACATTTAATTATGGGACTCATAATAAACACATAATTATACATAATTATATAAGTTTACCATAATCAGACGATCCTTATCCGAGATAATTATTGTGCATCCCTGATACTAATCTCATTAAACTACTTAAATTGACTAGACGGAGATCAATACCTCGTAATCACGAGATATAAAGTCAGAATTGTGAGTAAACTGCATACAAACATATATATATATATATATATATATATCCATATCTTAAAACATAATTATTAATATGTTAAAGCAGCAACAAGGAACTTTTAATGTTGTGTTGCCTCTGGCGGCCCCCTGTGGACAGTAACGGTAGTGTTTCAGCTGCCTCGTTTCATTGATTTCAAGGGGAAACCGACCCAGAATAACTACATAGAAACAGCCAATCTTCGGCCGTATAGAGGCTTCAGTATTAAACTGTTTGAATAACCAGTTAAAGTCCTCGTAGAAGGTTTAATAACTTTCTGTCTCACTATATCACTTACTGTGCGGCTCCTCTCGAGCTGTCCGATTACTTCTATGCAACAGCGTTAAAAATAAACTCTGGCGGGACGTCAACGGCATGTTGTGAACATGCAGCTTCCAACACAAACCAAAAGTCTGGTTGTCTCCACACTCGATCAAAAACAAACAAACAAACAAACAAACGCCAGCACGGACGAGGCTGGTCCTCTCCTCGAACACACGTAACTGTAACCGGTTACACTAACAAGGGAAAAGTGGCAATTTTTAGTTGAGTGATTGTTATGTCAAGTAGGGAGAATCTCCTAGAAAAAGTTGTCTTGATCAATAAATAATGGATCCTTTTTTACCTTTTTTTTTTTTTTTTTGTTGTTGTTTACGTTTTTATTTTTAAACCCTGCTTCTTACGTTTTAGTTTTCTTTGCACCAAAAGAAATTCCTAAAGGGAGAAACGTAGCGCGTGCATTTCATAGTCTAACAAGTTGTTGTTGTAAAAAGAAAAAAAGATCTAGAGACGTTATTACGACACCGACGCGGAGAGTGAGAGCGGTGGGGAGAGTTTACACTGAGGTAATGTGCAGTTTAAACTTTTATTTTGTAAAGGAGGAAACCATCCTGAGCTGCTAGCTGTCCAATTTAAAAAAATAAAAAAAAAATAAAATAAATACAAATAAAATGTAAAAAAAACAACAAAAAAAAAATCTATACTGTCATAGTGAAGCACTTTTTGATGTCTTCTTATTCCTTTTCAGTATTGTGGATGTTTGTTCAATATTTCCCGTTTGACGTTTTTTTGTTTACGTGCTATAATATCGGATCTTTTATCGGCTCTCTGCGTTATTTAGCCTTAAACAGCCGTTGTAGTGTCTTTGATTGAGATTGACCTTTTTATGATCGTATTGTTTCTGAAATAGTTTACAGAGAGCTTGGAGATGGATATCTGTACAAATAATAGCACAGCTGTTTTTTTTTGTTTTTATTTCTTTTTAGATTTAGGATTTAAAAATAAAAACCTATTAAAACCTTTAGTTCAATTCGATCGGAGGAAGAGAGATATCTGTCAGCCAATGTCGCTGTGTTCTCGTTGATCTCCTTGAGATCTGAATGACATCAAACTTATTTTTGAAGTTTGCATTTTACCCTGTTGTATTCAGAAAGTCTTCAGACTGAAGTCTCTTTTCCCGATATATATATATATATATATATATAAAGAGAGAGAGAGAGAGAGAGAAAGTTGTTGTTAACTTGCTACTGGTCCTTATTTCATGTCTGAATCTGAACATCAGTGAAGAACTGCCCACGTTTTACAATGTAAGCTCTGCAGAGGCTGCCGAGCGTCATATTTACACACCAGTGGATGTTTAACTGTATTTATTGTGTACAAATAAATGTGAAATAAAGATAGCTTAAAATAAAAAATAAAGCAAACAAAGACTCAGTTTTTTTTTTTGTTGCTTTCAGTTTGAACTTCTTCATCACACAAACACATTAAACATCGTTTGTTAGTGGACGCGGAGCAGCTGTGGGTCATTTTTAATGAAATGGTTACAGAGAAAAGAAGAAAAAATATCTTTATTTAACAATCTGATAAATATAATTAGATACTCACTGATTACTTGTTAAAAAAAATGTAAACAACTTGATTACTTTGTTACTTTTAGATTACTTCAACAGCTAATATGCAAATAAAGACAGGAGGAAATAAATATTGGTAATAATTATTGATTTTATTGACAACAGAACAATATTAAACATTTTAAAATCAAATAGAAATCAAAATTTTAGCATCAAAAATTTGTTATTTTAAAGAAAAACTGATTATAATTCTGCAAATAAACCAAATTTTTACTAAATACAACTTAATCTAAATACGTATTTCTAACGGAGCACACGCCTTTAACTGTATCCCGATTACATGAACTCAGTTACATGTAATCTATTACTCCCCGAGCCCAAAAGTACCGAAAAGTTTCACCTGCAGTTTTAAATTAATACAACAACTAGAATAAAATGGCGCCGGTTGGCTGCGTGGCTCGTGAGTGCGGGAGCGTGGGGATCAATAAAGGTGATCAGTATTAAAAATCAATCAATAAACCGATGATCCCTGATGACCGTGAACGCATCACGCAGAGCTGAGATTAAACGGATCATCAATGACGCGTTTGTTTACGTTTTAACCGCAAATCGTTGTCAAGGTACCGACAATAAACAACATACCACTTCCGGTTTGAGCTTTCAAAATAAATTACGTTTTATGTTATATATGTATTTTATCAGTATAAAGTAACTGAATAAACATATATAGGGAATGTATTGTTTATAAAAATGTAATATATCTGTCTGAAAGGTGTTTTAGGGCGTTATTTCCTGTAATATTAACGTGAGATCTTATTTATTTGTGTTGCATTAAACACGGAAATAATCGATATCACGCACATATGTTACAGCGTACATGTAAGGTTTATAAAATTATCGATAATTGTGTATTTTAGTTTTTAAATAATCAGCATTTTGTCTGAAAGAAAAGAAAAAGACACTTTTTGCTGTTTTATTTTGTAGAAAATCGCATTTACATCCGGTTTCCGTGTCACTAACTCCCGCTAGCTTTATTGCCGCGGTGCATTCTGGGTCGTCATCTCAACTCCTGCTTCTTTCAACCTTTATTTATTTTTTTATTTTTATTTTTTAACTTTGAAGAATCGCGTCAAATTAAACAGAATAAACGAGAAAAAACAGCAGAAATCTCTCAGCTAAACGTTAAAGAATATCACGTTGTGTTTTAAACTATTATTTTTAGTCATAGTGACGTTAGAAAAGTTAAAAGTTTGATCATTTGTTTAAATATCATTAAAAACTCCACTAAAATAAAATAAAACTGAATATAGTATATAAGTATATAAGTCTATTTATTCTATTAAATTATGTCTATTTTTGCTCTCATGTTATATTTATGTGTAATACTCATTTAATAAATATAAATTAAGTTTTATTGGTGTATATCCAGTAATTATAGATTCATTTTATTTATTAATATTTGCAAAATTAGCAAAATACAGAAACTGTAGTCGGACACAGGTCGACAGAAATTGAAGCCAAACAAGAATTAAATGATAAAATAGCACTAAAATGATAAATAATTAATTATATAGCAAATGGAAATTAATAAAAAAGAAACAGTCGGAGATCTCTACTTAGAGTTTTTAACTTAATCAATTAAATAAATAATAATTTAATGAAGAGAATCAAACTAAATAAATAACACTGACCTCTGCTGGCAGGGTAGGACAAACCTTTCTCCACAGGAGGTTCAGACTTTTGTACATTTAGATTATTAGTATAAAATATAAATCAGATAATAGATATTGATTGATATTGATTGTTATGCAGCACATAAAGTTATTAAAATTAGCCCCAACTTCACCAGCCGCAGTATTAAAGCAATAATGTATCAATAATTATAATTTAATAATGTATATGAAAGTCTCTAATTCTGCCTAATGACTGTATTTTTTTTGAGGGTGAACTGAATAATAACTTAATAAATAAATTTTAATAGTGTTTCTATGTAAAACTCACTTTGGCAACTTTATTATTATTATTATTATTATTATTATTATTATTATTAACGGATATACCATCTATATATATTTTTATTATTGTATACTATTCTATTTGGTGTAAGAAACACTTTAATCTTATTTAATCTTATGTTCGGTTGTTTAATTTAGAAAAAAAACACCATATATTATATATTGAGTTTTTATTTTGGATGGAAAATATGAATCAGTATAAAGTATAATTATATAACATTATATATAAATGATAAAAAATATGTTAAAAAGTACAATATTTATCACAGAAACGTCGTGGAGTAGAAGTACAGGACACATTTGTCCTCATCACTATTATAGACTTAGACTTCTTTATTGTCCTTGGTAAAACTTTATATATGTATAATAATACGTATAAGTAAACATAAACTCTAGTAAATATATAAAGTAGAGATAAGAATAAAAGTAAAATAAAATTCACAGAAAATAAAATCAAATAAGATAAATGTAGAGAACTGTATAGAGGATAAATAAAGATCAATAAAGATAAATAAAGATCAATAAAGTTAAATATAGATAAATAAAGATAAATAAAGATAAATATAAATAAAAGATAAATAAAGATAAATAAAGATAAAGATAAATATAGATCAATAAAGATAAATATAGATCAATAAAGATAAATATAGATCAATAAAGATAAATATAGATCAATAAAGATAAATAAAGATAAATATAGATAAAGATAAATAAAGATAAATATAGATCATAATAAATATAGATAAATAAAAAAAAAAAAAAAAAAAATATAAAAAAAAAAAAAAAAAAAAAAAAAAAAAAAAAAAAAAAATAAAATATAATAAGAAAAGATAAATATAAATATAGATAAGCAAAGTTAAATATAGATAAATATAGATAAATATAAATAAAGATAAATAAAGATAAATAAAGATAAATATAGATAAATATAGATAAATATAGATAAATATAAATAAAGATAAATATAGATAAATAAAGATAAATAAAAGATAAATAAAGATAAATATAGATAAATATAGATAGAAATAATATATATGATAAGCGTTAAATATGTAAATATAGATAAATATAAATAAAGATAAATATAGATAAGTAAAGATAAATATAAGTAAAGATAAATATAAATAAAGATAAATAAAGTATTATTATACAGTGAATAAATGACATTAGCAGAAATAAACAGTTAAGTTAAATTATTGCACTTAGTGGATTAGATGAGATTAGCATAAATAAATAGTAAAGATAAATAAAGATAAATAAAGACAAATATAGATAAATAAATACAAATATAGATAAATAACGATAAATATAGATAAATAAAGATAAATATAAATATAGATAAATAAAGATAAATAAAGATAAATATAGATAAGTAAAGACAAATATAGATAAATATAAATAAAGATAAATATATATCAATAAAGATAAATAAAGATAAATAAAGATAAATAGACTTTATTAATCCCCAGAGTGAAATTGGGTCGTCATAGCAACCAGGTACATTAAATACAATAAAATACAACAACAGAATAAAATACTTAGAAAAGATAAAAAAAAAAAAAAAAGATAAATAGGTAAGTTATTAATAATGTAAAAAGTATATAATAATATACAAATAACATGTACAGACGAGGGGGGAAAAAAAAAATAAACGTGAATTTCAACAAAATAAAACACACTGCTTTATTTTGTTAACACCGGAAGTACTCCATTCCATTCCGGCTGGCTTGACACTGGTGTTGGAAAAGATGGCTGCTTCGGCGGCAACGGCGAGTTCTTCCCCCGGTTTGAGTCCGAATTACGCCGCGATCTGCTCCTTCCTGGAGCGCTACGGCGCGCTGCTGGACCTACCGGAGCTCACCTTCCCCCAGCTGGAGCGATATCTCCGGGACACATCCTCCGGTGAGGCGGCCAAACCCCCCACACACACACACACACACACACACACACACACACACACCCTCCAGCTGCCGTTAACGGGCGACGGTTACCGTGTTAGCATCGGAGCTAACGTTAGCTCCGTTGTGTTATTGTGTTTACTTTAATATAAGTTGAGCTGCTGCTGGAGGCGTCGGTGGTTTTTAATCCACCGACCAACCGACCCGCCGCTTCACTCGCGCTTTTCTGTCACTTTCTTTTTAAATTCAGGGTTTTTTTTTTTTTTTTTTTTAATTTTTTCTCGTTTTTTAAAGCTAAAAAAAAAAAAAAAAAAAAATCGCGTTTTAGGTTTTAACGTTTAGCGCGAGCGGGACACCGACTGCGGGCTCGTGTGTGAGTGTTTGCGGTGCGGTAACGCTGCGGGGAGCCTCCCGCATCGTGCCCCGGGTGTCTGCGGAGGTGTTATTGTCCGCGACGGGCGCGTAAATGTGCACTTTTATCCGCTGTTCGATATATTTCTCTGCCATGTTAGTGGTTTACACAAGCTGGCGTCAGTGCGCACAACTTCCGGTGGAGGCTTTCACAATAAAATGTTTTTTTTTTTTTTTGTTTGTTTCTTTTTGACCGTTTAAAATCAATTAAACTTCATCGTTGTGTTTGATTAAGATATTAAATGTAAAGTATCACTCACACGCGTCTACTGTAATCTGTACCCGCAAGCATGTGCGTGTGTGTGTTTAAAGGTAAACTACTTCCGTTTGTGTTGCTTATTGCGGTTGACTTTACTATGCTGAGTGGCTTTGCGCATGCGTCTCACGTCTTCCTGATTTTAAGTGATGTTTTTTTTATCTCTCTTTGAGGCCAGTTGAAATAAAAGATAAGGCTTTATTGATCCCACGCTGAGGGGGGGAATCACCTCCTATAGCAACATGTCACAATAGATTAACTGAAGATATAATAGAAACATAAGAATAAGAGTTGTATGTGCATTGTATACACCTTTTTATACACAGGTGAGACCGATGTGGAGCAAAAGGCACAGGTCAGGAGGTTGTGGCCCGGTGTAGACATACATGTACAGCAGTGTAGTTTGAAGGTAATATAAGCTATAAATGTGGGGTGTAATTGCACAGTGCAGGTATAAAAGATGAGTGTAAACATTACGTCATTGCTGAGTTTTAAGAGTCAGACAGCGGAGGGAAAGAAAGACCTCCAAATGAACTCTGAATATGTTAGCTGTACAGATTTTAAAGACTTAGTGGCTGTCTTGGAGAAATATTAGACTTTTTGCTGCATCCTTTTCAAATTAAAAGCCCCGTACAGGATTCCCGTGCGTCCTGGAAAAACCTGGAAATGTAGAGACGAGTTCTCCAGTCATGAAAACACCTGAGATTTAATTAAAATGACCAAAAATCATTTAAATAATTCACGTAGTCGCCACGGTTATGTGCCACGTAACCGCCGAGGTGGATGAATCAAAGTTTGAGCGGCTTTAAAAACAACATTTATTAGAAAGTCTGTCCTCTTAACATCCAAATCAAAGCACTAAATCACTTTTTATACTTGATTTAGATTTGGGAGTTCTTGGAGCATCTTGTTTGTATAAATTAAAGTTTGTATTTTGGCTGTGGCCCACCTGAATATACATGCATACTTACAGATTTCCCATCGTAACCATACTGTGTTTGCTGAGGCCTGAAACCAACGTTTAAATCACAACATATCCACAGATATATGAGTTTATAAACTTATCTTTCTGGGCAGAAACACAACCTGCTGTCAGACAAAAAGGCTGTAAATAAAATCCCCTTTTTGACCTTTCAGACGATGTTTAAGTGAGAACGGCTCTGTGGCTGAATCGTGGAGTCACAGATTGAGTTAGACTACAATAAACTGGTATATTAAGTTAATATATTTAATTCATAGGATCACTTCAGGCTCCTCTACGACTCCCGGGGACGTTTATGTTGGTACGCTGGTCGAATTGTACGAGAATATGATCAAAGATAGTTGTGAGTTGAGTCTTTTTTTTTACAGGATACTAATAAATATATCTTACAGGTTGTAAATATCCGTTATACTTCAAACTAGTGGTCGATCAATATCGGTTTTAGTTTCAGTTAGAGAGCAGAGCGACTGATGGCTGATATATATATATATAATGTTGATATCAAGTCATTATTGCGTCCACATTATAATCTAATATACTAGGTTATTTTAGTCAGTAACATGTTGTTTTAGATGGAGATAAGTAATGAAACAAACTGCAGTATTATTATATAATATATATTTAACACAAAACTGTACAGGTCAAAATCAAATCTACATTTTGTCGTCTTATGTTTGTCTTTATTTCTTCTTTGTTTATATTTTTCTCATACAATGTTTACTGTGTTTCCTTGACAGTAAAACCGATTTATTTCTGATACCCTGATCCATATAAATCGTCTTTTATAATGTTTCCTCAGTGCCGAAGCTGCTGGTTGATCTTCACGTCAAGTTGCTGAGGAAGATCGGCAAGTCGGTGTCGGCAGACCGATGGGAGAAATATCTAGTAAAGGTAAACCTCGAGTTCTCGTGTTTGTTTACACATAATGCACGATAAAGTGTAGTAAGACTGTGTTTGTTTATGTGTTTTGACTTTCAGGCTGCTACAACAGTTAAAGTTAATCAATAAAAACAACATAAAGCTGCATTAATTGATTTCTAAGAGTCTCTTTATACATTCAGCAGACACAGAGTAACGTTACCATTAGCAGCAGTTAACTTATAATGAAGTTCTGTAAGTCTGAAGATAATAATAATCATACTGCAATCACAATATCTGTCAGAATAATCACAATATGATGTTTTTATGCCAATATTCACTCTATAAATGTATTTCTTTCTACTGAAAGCCCCACTATGTCCGACAGCTCGTCGCTAACTTTGTCTGTTTGGTTGTTTTCCTGTTGGAAACGTGTTGAGTTACAGGCTGAAAAACCAAAACAATTATCTAAATCAGACTGAAACGCTGTGCGGGAAGTTAATTTCACCTTCACACCATCATTAGATTGTGTATTAAAACCCTGCCTGTTAATTAATTATTGTAATACTCAAGGGTGCAGTCGAGAAACTGCTCGTAATTTCTCCTTCGCGTGGCGTCAACATCAGAAATACCTGAAACTCATAATCAGTTTATTACATTGTTATAGCTCAAATGATGTTAAAGGTAAACAACGATGGTGGAGTAATAAGTACACAGTGTTGTTGTGTTAGTTATGTATTCGATCAGACTTTAATAACAAGAAATTATAGTAATATTAACAAGAAATAAGTTAATTTAATGCGGATTAAATTTGTGATTTTTTTTTTCCTCTCAGGTGTGCCAAGAGTTCAACACAACCTGGGCATGGGAACTCGAGCAAAAAGGGTACAAGGAGATGCCGACGGAGTGCAAGACGGGTATACTTAAAGTAAGAATGCTGGTTTTTGTTGTTGTCTGGCTTCCTCGAACGTTTGAACTTCTGTATTTACGTGCTGCGGTTTATTGCTGAGCTGACGTACACAGATGCAGATATACTTTATCTCTATAATAGCTTCTGTTATCTACTTCCATCTTCCGGATATTTTGGGGTATGTAGTGATACTGCCCTCCAGACTGCGGTGAGGAAGCACAGGGGGAGGCGTATGTGACGTAAATATCATCATCAAGAGTGTCAGTAAGTCAACTACTGCACAGATGTGGTGTCCACAGCGGTCTGTAATAATGGAAAGACTTTACTGTCAGGGTTCCCAGGCGTCCTGGAAAATCTGGAAATTTAGAGACTAGTTTTCCAGCCATAGAAGAAACCTGGAAGTTGATTAAAATGAGCAGATATGCTGGAAATAATCTACGTTGTCCTGGAAATGTTTGTTTAAAACTCGACTGTTGTTGGGATAAACGGCGTGCTACTCTGCTCATATGTCAGTTAAGAGCTTTTCCACCTTGCAGCAAACTTTCGGTATCAAGTTTGTTGTTTGTTTGTTATATTTTATACTTTTCCTTTGGGCTAATAGATGAGAAGATAAATACTCTTGTCAGATCTACTTGATTTGATCTGTTATTCATTCAGTTAGTTTGTGGGAGACTCCGCTGAGGCCGCTGTCGGAGAACAGCCAAGCGTGCCGTAAAAGTGAGCCGGCGCTGACCAGCATTGTGAGCGAGTGCTGTCCTGTGTTGTCAAGAAAAAAAACTCCTGGAAAATTAGTTTTTAAGAGCTGAACTTTGCGACATTGCTTCACTCAACTGCTGGTAAACAAAACTCTTCTTTTAAGAAGTTGTAAGCACTTATTTTCTAACAAACTGCTAACTGTGCAAATGGGTAACTACAGGTAACAGTTGACTATATTTTTCCCCCCTAGCTGTTAATTAGTGTTTGCAGCAAAGTAACTAGGAATCCTCCATTCTTAAAAAGCAACAGCAATGATTTCTACGTTTGTTTTTGCTTTATTTCTTCACAGAACTCAAGAGATTTTTACTTAAACTAACAAAGAACAAACATGTGATGGTCAAACACAACCCTCAGACTTGATGCTAATACTCCTGTTCACCAGTGCATATATGAATCTTTAGGGTTTTGGTTGCCTCGCTGCCCCCCAGCATTGATCTAATACCTGACACCTCTTGGTCGGTAACTTGAACCAAAACTTAATAAGAAAAAAAGGGGTAAACACTCAAAAAACAGTTCTCAAAACTCCAGTCACCTGCTGTGAATTGTCTCTAACTTTGTGACGAGGTTGAGGTCAGCCGACAGGGAGACGGTGTGCTGTGACAGAGTTAATGTATTTCCAAACAATTCTGTGCCTTTTTTCTCCCTCCAGTATTTGTGCGAGTGTCAGTTTGATGAAAACGTGAAGTTCAAAACCGTCATCAATGAGGAGGATCCGGATAAGATGCGGCTGCAGCCGATCGGCCGGGACAAAGACGGTCAGATGTACTGGTATCAACTGGACCAGGACGACAACGTGCGCGTTTACGTGGAGGAACAGGACGACTTAGACGGGTCATCGTGGAAGTGCATCGTCAAGTAAGCGGACAGAAGTGATTTTTAACGGAGCCAATGTGCTGCAGGCACTGTGAAATTAAATTTGATTCTTGTGTGTGTTAGTTACTCTGAAAGCGGAGTTGTTATACTCACACACTCTTTTTTTTTTTTCATTCCTGCAGAGATAGAAATGACTTGGCGGAGGTTGTGGCTCTGCTGAAGACTCAAATTGACCCCGAGCTGTTAAAAAAAGATCAAGAAGCCAAGGCTCTGGCCGAGGAGGGCAAAGAGAAAGCAGAAGGTAAAGGTTATACTTAAACTGGAGTTCCCACTGGTCCTTGAAATCAAAGGCGTTGAGAGTTTTTGAAACTAGACGCAGGTCATTGGTGCTTGTGTTTATTTATTTGTAAGACTTTCTGTAAAACCTGACAGTTTTCATTATAAAAAACCTTGTTACAGTAATCGATTCGGTGTGCAGGAGACCACAGAACTCACGGTTCGGATCGTATCACGGTTTTAAGTCTCTCTCTGTCTTATTATCTTATGATCTATTTCTATGATGAGAAACATGTTTCTCAGTTACAGGTTTTAAATAACGTAATTTAGAGTAAAACAAGCACCCGTTTGTCTTTTCGATCTTTTCACTGCAACTCTGCATCGTGATTTTATTACAATTGTCAGGGCGCATTTTAAATTCATTATCACAATAATTAGCTTTGCAAAACAAAGATTAAGTGTTCTCTGAACTGTCACGATGATCTGGACAACATTAGTAATTGGAGAACTCTTTTTATTGTATTCTTCTATTTGATCTTTTATTTCATATTACAGGTGACGTTAAGAAGTCTGAGGACACATCAGATGAAGACTCAGACAAGTCTGTCTCACCAAAGACGGAGAGCAATGAAAAAGTAACACAGAAAGACGACTTGATATCAGAAGCTTCTGAGGTGAAATCATCACTGAACGGCATCGTTGAAGGGAAAGCTGAAGCAGAACTCAGCTCAGAAAAGCCCGCGGTGGATCTCAGCATCAGTACAAAAGCCCAGAACATCAAAGAAGAGCCGATGGAGGTGTCAGACATTAAAACCAGCACAGCAACAAGTGAACCCGCCGCTGAGACGCTGTGTATATCAGTAAAAGCAGAAAAGGGAGAGGAGGCGAAGAAGAACAGCGCAGAGGAGATTCAGCAGGCTCTGAAGAACGACCAACAGGCCAAAATCCCTTTGAAAAAAAGAGGAATGAAGTTTAGCGAAGACTTTGAAAAGAATAGCCCCATTATAGTGCAAAACCCATCTGTTTCTCAGGTCAAGGAAGCTCCGAAAGCTGACTCGGCTCCCGAACAGACAAAGAAAGCGAGTGTAAACGATCACGTTAATGGGGAAGTTCAGCCCACACTAGAGAAAGGCCTCCAGAGTCATCTGTGCGAGTCACTAAAAGACAAAGAGCAGACGACTCAGCCGGCTGCAGGTGAATCCGTAGGAACCAGAGAAAATGACTCACCGTCCACAGTCAAGAAGAATTTGAAAGATAAAAGGGATGAAGCCTGCAGTGCAGAGAAGGTCACGGAGGGAGTAGAATCACACCGAGCAGATGTGGACAAGAAAAATCAAGATATGCAAGTAGAAAAGCAAAGTGCTGCATCAACAGAAAAGAAAGAAGCACACGAGTCTCCGCCACCGCCAACACAACCGCCACCTTTATCTAAAGATGTAAATAACGCACTTGAGAAGTCGTCTAATCACGAAGAGCATGAACACATAAAAGAAATCAAACCGGCGGATGAAAAAGACTCTCGTACAGGAGACAAGACGATCACGTTAAAGGAAACCGATGAAACATTAACAACCGGTGAGTCAGAGAAAATCACATCCAAAGACGTTGAATCAAAAGATTCAGAGGAAAAACCAGCCTGCGTAGACACGGACACATCACGGAAAAGTCAGAGCGAAGGAACCATGACGTCGGAGTTGACAGAAAACGTAACCGACGTGAAGCAAACGGAGACGAGAGACGCTAAAGAAATCACAACACAAGAGGCTAACGTTGAGAAATCTAACTCAGAGCTGAAAGAGTCACCAGGAGTCATCAAAGCAACAGAGACGCAGTGTGCAGACAGAGATCCTGCAAAGAAATCGGTTGACTCTGAAGACGCCGTATCGCCGTCTGTCATTAAAAAGACAGAAATACCAAAAGACGGGGATAATACAGAGACCCAAGGAGTCACACAAAGCTCTAATGTTATCAAAAAGGCTGAGAAATCATTAACCAGTGAGAAATCAGAAGAAACACCCAGCACTAAAGAGAGCGTGAACTCTTCTGTTGTTAAAAAGTTAGACAAATCAGACTCGTGTAAACCTGTCGAGAAGCAGGATAACATCAAAGACGCAGAGATCACTCCGGAGAAAGGAAGTGCAGCATCCGAGACTAACGCTGAAAAGATGGAAGAGACGGAAAAGACGGAAAAGCCTGAAGACATAAAGAAAACTGTCAACTGTGAAGACCAAACGGTGCATGATGTTGGCAAGATAAGTGAGTCCGCGCCCGAGCCCATGGAGGTAGAAGCAGTGGCCGTTAAACAGGATCTGACAAAGCCACAAGAGGATGACAAGACTGAGATGAACTCGGATGCACATAAGACGACGGTGGAGGCATCTGAAGGGAAAGATGAACCATCCAGTCCTGTTGAGAAGACGGACGTCTCTAAAGAAACTGATACAAAACCTGAAAGGCCAGACACCGAACAGGAAAAGGTGCCTGAAGAACAGCCCAAAAATATCGAGGCAGAGCTTCCATCATCAGAAAGTAAAAAGGATGCCGACAAGGAAAATAAAAAGGATGCAGACGATGAAAAACTTAAGAGTGAGAGTAAGAAACACAAAGAGAGTGAAGAGGATTCAACACCGGATAAACTCCTAAAAACCGACGAGACAAATGAGGAGAAACCAGCTCATAAAGAAAGCGAAACCTCAACCAAGACGGACGAATCTGGGCAGCAAAATGTGAGCAAAGAACCCGACTGCAAATCCTCAATTGAGACCGAGAAAGCAGGACACAAGAGCAAAGACTCCGAAAAGCCCACTGACGAGGAAGGCAAAAGCAAAAGTGAGGAAGAGGAGTCCGCAAAGAAAAAAGAGGTGGCGAATGGTGGGGAAGCTCCGCCAGATGCTCGGGAAGAGGTTGTCCGTCGTAAAGTCAAGCGTCCGGTCCCCCGGAGGAAAGTTGAACTTCTCCGAGAGGAGAGACAAGGAGATTCAGAGTCCGATACGAACACGGGGAGGTCTCTTCGAAGGTCACCGAGGATCTCCAGGCCGACGCCGAAGGCCGTGGAGATCCACGACAAGAAGCAGGAAAAGACGCCGGCTCCTCCGCCGGCTGAGAAGCACGACGACGACAAGGGCGAGAAAGAAAAAGACGAGGACGAGGAGGATGAGGAAGAGGAGGAGGTGAAAGCTGTTCAGAAGAAACCAAGGGAGAAAAAGGCGGATCAGGAGGGTCAGCCCAAATCTAAGGTAAGGTCGTTGAGAATTTAATCAATGATTTGATCATTAACGTTATCAATGATTTGATAAAGTGTTTACAGTTTATAACCTTAACAGTTCAACACGTGTTGTTTATTTAAGGGGAGAAAGCGGCGGAAGGTACGATGGTCCAACACGCGAACGCGTCGTAAAAAGAAAGGCTCGGAAGATGAAGACGACAACAGCGACGAGGAGTCCAGCGAGGAGGACGAGACCGAGGAAGAGGACGACAGCGACGAAGACTACAAGGTTGAGCGAAGCAGAAAGAGGCGGAATCGCAACCGCGAAAGGCGAAGCTCAGACTCCTCGACGTCCTCGGACGACGACCTACCTCCCAATGACGACCCCTGCAAACATTGTGGTCTTCCAAATCACCCTGAGCTGGTAGGTAATTTATATTCAGACCAACAGTCCAAATCACAAAGATATTCTGTTTATATATGAAAAACAACAAATACACATATAAAACTTATACAAATAATCTAAAATAAATAATGAATATCTCCTTTTTTTTTTTTTTTTTTTAGATCTTGCTGTGCGATTCGTGTGACAGCGGGTACCACACAGCCTGCCTAAGACCTCCCCTCATGATCATCCCCGATGGAGAATGGTTCTGTCCACCCTGTCAACACGTACGTACCATCCAGAGGCGCCGCACGTTAGAGAGCATCAACAAAAAATGTGACCGTAGATTGAATGTTTTCGTCCCCTCTTGTAGAAGCAGCTCTGCGACAAGTTGGAAGAGCAGCTCCAAAATCTCGACGCTGCTTTGAAAAAGAAGGAACGGGCTGAGAGAAGGTGAGACATTTTGTGCCACGACTGTTTTAAAAATGCTGTTAACGGCTTTAGGGAGTGCAACAGTGAACCAAAGCAATGTACCGAACTCCTGTGTAACACATGGGCTGTTTGTTAGCTTCAACATTTGGTGGTTTTACTGCATCACTGATGGACATAGTGGAAAGTTTTGTTTCAAAACTAAAATGTACAACAGGAACATTTTACAAAATAATTTAATCCAATTGAAGCACAAACACAAATAAGCTTGTGGTTCCCAACCTGGCCTCTAAAAATCCTTCAATTCCATTCAGTTTTATTTATATCGCCCAAAATCTTAACAAAAGTTATCTAAGGACATTTTACATATAAAGCATCTTATATTCTTTATAATATTATTCACAGACACACAACAATTCCCACCATGTACAAGCACTCAAATGAAACCATCTCAAAACAAAATATTCCTCTTGTGATAAGACATCACAAGTAGACTTGCGGTGTTCATTTGATCCCTGATGGAGGGAGAAACAACTTTAAATTGTCGCATTTTAGTTCCTGTCAAACAAACCAAGAGGAGTAAACTGGTAACTCATCGATTGGACAGTTTTGGCATCATCGGGACCCAACGTGGGAAATTCTTCACTTTAATGCTTCTAATGTGTTTTATTTATCTTCTCTGGTGTCACAGAGAGATAAATGATTGGCAGTAAGTTGGTCGTATGCTCTGGATAATGACCGACTGTTAGAGAGCGTGTTTGTTTTAACTGAACCAAACTTATTTTCTGGTTTCGTCTCAAGTGAAAATGTCCAGGAACCGCTGTCTCATGCCTCTGGATTTCTTTATGTGCGCTCTGATAATTCTGTCCAGTCCCTGAAGATTTAGATGAACTCCAATGACAGATTTTACTGTGAAATTTCAGCTCCTTCACAGTAAAATCTCTCGCAGAGCTTCAAACGAACAATCTGAATGTCATTACACAGCCCTGCTTTGTGAAAGACCTTGAATCTTTGAAACACTTAAACACGACAGACTAAGAAAAAAGCTAATTAACAACAAAAAATATATAGTTTTTTTGTTTAATATCATTTCTATTATATCTGAGCACTTAATTGGCCGTGAAATGAAGCGTTCATCCCTGTATTCAGAGAGAGAGTCGGTGATTTTGGGCTTTCTTAATGTCTATGATCTCCTCCCAGGAAAGAGCGTCTAATCTATGTTGGAATCAGTGTTGAAAACATCATCACGCCCTCAGTAAGTACGGAGTGCGATCGTACATTAATGCCGGATCGATACTCGCCTGCCGGTGTTTGTAACGTAGATCCTCACTCGTCACACAGGTGGAGGTGGAGGTAGAGGAAGAAAAGCCAGCGATCATTATCAAAGAGAAGAAAGAAGCAAAGAGAAGTAAGAGCTGGGGTCGAAGGTCGACGAGGGCGAAGAAATCCATCAGCTACAGGTCTGACACATACTTTTATATAGTTATATGAGTACATTTACTCTTTTATGTGCTGATTTTTATTTCACATTCAGTGGATGATTTGATGCAAAGGACTACAAAACATTCAGAAAAGGTGTTTATTTCATAAAGCTAGAAGAGAAGAGAGTCAGAGCATCTCCAAAACCTGCAGCTCTTCCCGGTCTGCAGAGATCAGTACCTATCAAAGGTGGTCCAAGGAAGGGAAAGAACCGGAGGCAGGAGTCATGGCTTTGAAGGCTGGCCCGTGTGGTCCGATCCAACAGACGAGCTACTGTAGCTGCTGAAACATTTATTGCTGGTTCTGTTAGAAAGGAGTCAGAACACACAGTCTGTTGGTGCCCAGGTGGTCATAACGTTATGGCTGAACATTACAACACCTGGAATTATATAAGTGAGTTGAAATACAGTCTGATGCTTGGTGTTCTCGAGAGCCCGGGATCATAATACCACACAGGAGTGAAAGTCACGTAGCCTCCGCCCTCTCTCACTCTGGACAAACTCCTGACTGCAAACACCAGCAGTCTCGCCGGTGTTCGGTTTAACAAGTCACTCTCGGCTGATAAGTCGTCGGTGAACAGGACCCAGGAGGCTGGAGGAGGGAGAGTGCAGGTGATTAGTACAAGCAGGTACCGAGATAAAACATCCTGTTGTACTCCTTATAAAGTTATTTGCAAAAACAAAACAAAAAATGGCGATAATACCGGAGATTCCTTCGTTCCTGGTGCAACTCCATCAGACCTTATGTGTGTGCTATATATAAGCATTGTGATTCATGTGATTACAGGGAGTTTATGTCTATGTTGATTTAATTTTACAGATTCGATGAATTCGATGAGGCGATCGAGGAGGCGATTGAGGAAGACATCAAAGAAGCAGAAGGCGGAGGTAGGAGGACACGAGTTCTTACTCTTCTTGGAAAAAAGCCTCGTGTTTAAAAGTGATACATCTGACACTGAGATGGGATTTAAGATCTGTGATGATGACGAGTGGGTTTTTTCCACAGGAGCTGGTCGGGGTAAAGACATGGCCAACATCACAGGCCACAGAGGAAAGGACATGTCCGCCATCCTCCAAGCAGAGGAGGGCAAGGAGAACGGCCGCCCGCCGCGACCCACCACCGGTCAGCGCAGGAAAAAACGCCGGCGACTCAACGACCTGGACAGCGACAGCACGGTGGATGAGGAGGAAAGCGAGGAAGAGTTTCGCATCAGTGAAAGGTAGCAACGCAAAGACAACAGTTGTGGCACTCTAATGTAAAAAAAAACAATGTTGGTTAAATGATGACGTTTGTTCGTTCTTCCTCCCTGTTTGCAGCTCAGAAGAAGAGTTTGTCGTGTCGGAAAACGACTCCGAGGGTGACACGGAGGCGGACTCCAACAACAGCGAGTACGGCAGCAACAGCAGCGGGAAGCATCGCACTTCCACGCGGTCCAGGAGGCCGCGGAAACAACGACGGAGCTCCAGAAAGCGGCGGAGACCGAGAGGCTACTCGGATGACGAGGAGGAGGAGACGGATGAGGATGATGAAGATGAAATAGGTATGTAGATCATATTAGTTAGTATTGTGTCCCTGATCTCCTCTGTTAAAACCACGTTAAGATGTTGCTGAAGATTTAATTCATTATTTTTTAGGGGGTTTTGTCTGTAGCTTACAGACAATTTACAATTTCTGGTGATTTTCAGGGTCAGAATGAACAAAGTAACCCTCTCATAACCAGAGATAGTATCTTCATCCGTCTATCCCTCTTGTAGATGCGGTTTCTAGAGTCAGTAAATAGACATCTGGAGTCATGGCAGTCCTTTAAACTGCAGCATGTACCGTAGTGTAGCAGTTTACAGGACTATTAGACCACTAATATAACCAGCTATCGTTATTTTTGAGTGAAAACGCGTCTTTACGGTTATTCTAATACCTAAATTAGGGCATTTTACAGCAAAAATTGCAAAGACAAGTCCCTCCACCAAGTTGCAATCGCAATAATTAAAGCAAATTCAACCAATCCTCATGAATTCTGCGCGACCAATCAGCACAATAATCAATTAGTGAGGTTTTCTTCGCCAAACGTCACCAGACTCACTTCCTTGTTTCTGGTTGTGAAGATGCAGACGTGTGTGACCCAAACGTCTCACATTTACCCTCCAAACAGTGCGAGTTTATTCTCACTAGAACAAGCTGCCTTTTTATTAATGAATGATACAAAACATCCTAAATCCTAAAAACATCACAACATGCATTTTTCATTTCATTTTAGGCTGCAACAATCCCCCAAAAAGCCTAAAAAATCGTGGAGAGACTAATGAGATTAACTCCAGATATCACCGTGGCCGACTTTAAACTTGCTTTAACTCGAATTAACGATTATGTGATCATATTCTGTTGTTGTTTTCCTGCAAATTATTATTAAAAACAGAACAACATTAGTTATTTTGGGTTTGATAGTGAACATGGAACTCTTCTTTTATTTTATTTTTACATGTTTATCTTAATGTGAAAAAACATCAATAATGAAAAAATATTCATATTGGTAACATGATATTCATTGTTTGAATAGGTTCATCATTTTAAAATTAATCAAATTCTCAGTCGAGAGAAAAGGAATCTCCGGCAATTTACATAATCAACTAATAATTTGAGTAATATATTGTGATAAAACTCTAAAACATTATCAAATATGAGGATTTTATTTATTCTATATCTTGTAAGTTAAATATCTTTGGTGTTTAGACTTTCACCTGGACAAACTAACGATTTAAAAGCACCCAAAAAAACGTATTATGGGCCATTTGTATACTTTTTTCCCGACATTTTATAGACTTAACAGTTAAAAGCTCAACAGATGTATCCGTAAAGAAAATAATCGTTACACGTAATGTCTCATAAAATAAAAATGTTCCAGAGGATCCTCAAGTCTTCTCCATTTGTGCTTTGTATTCCTGGGAAGAGTTGTTTTTAAATCATGAATAAGGTCTAATTTTACAGATTTAAAATATTCATATTGTCTCTAAAACAGTCAGGATGTGTTTCAGTCGGCTTTGAGAAGACGGATGTCGCTGGCAGAGTATCCTTACATTTGTAACCTCATTATTACTTTCTGTGTGTGTCCAGTGACTGAAGGCTCCAGTGAGTACAGCGACAGTGATCTGGATATGAGCCGACGGCGGTCTCGGCGGAGTCAGAAGAAGCAGGTGAATTACTGCGAGACGTCTGAGTCTGAAGGCTCTCAGGCAGAAACCAACCGGGCCAAAATGAAACCCAGACGTCAGCAGGAGAGCTCCGACAGCGAGGGTGAGTCAGGAAAACGCACATTTGGGTGTTAACAACCGGCTACGGGCCGCGATTTTGACCTTTGATACCACAGTATTGACGGATATAAGATGTTCTGCCTCTTTAGTTAGATGCTTGTTCACAAAGATTTTCAGCACCACGGACAGAGACAATAACGGTCTTATTTCCAGGTTAATATTCAGCTGCTAAGTTAGGATTAAAGTGGTTCGATATCATTCATAAGGACGCAGATAACGGAGGCGTGTTTGTGATTGTGATTAGGTAATAAGTTACCATTGATGAGCTCATGGTGCAAGACAGATATAGACATATTTAATCATACAGATAATAACCGATGTGCAAAGTATCATAGATATTAAAGTGAAGCTTAAAAAAATACAACAATAATAGAAATACCCTCCGTCTAATAGAATTAGGGTTGTATGTAAAAACTAAATACAGTATTTTTATACAGATGTGATTTAAAGTAAAGTATAAAACATCACATTTCATGTTTAGTAGTAGTAATAGTGCTGTTTATTTCCTGTTTTTGCCATAAAATAAAGCCTAGATACAGATATAGTTGCACACTGAACTAGCACAAGGCTGAAAATGACAGTAATTTGGAGGGAACTATCCTGCACATCTTTCCAGTTTTATGATATTAAATGAATTATTGATGTCGGGGAGCTGCAACCACCACTAACGTCAGTCACACGTAGGGAGGAGGTGAGTCACACAGTCATGTTTGCAGTGTGAAATTACTTTAAAAATCCTATTAAAGATGAAGGAAATGCTGCAGGGTGGTTTTTAGGTTTAATACATTTAGTTGGATCAGAACGATGCTCAGCTTTAATCAGCTTTTTTTAAAACGGTGTCAGCATGTACAATATGGAGGGAGGTCATATTTCTGTCACCGACGGCAGAAATATTGATCCTATTAGTGTAAAAAAGGTTGTTAACTAAAAGTGTTTCTTGCTTTCTTTTCCCAGCGAGTTTCTCCAGAGACTCTGAGGAGGAGTCGAAGGATCGGAGGGTGAAGAGGAGAGCCGACTCCTCGGAGGAAGACTCCCGGCAGCGGCGCAGGCGGCTCGCACTAAAACGCCGGAGAGCGTCCGAAGAGGACGACTCGGACGACGACTCGGACGAATCGTCGGAGGAGGATCGCCCCATCCGCAAACGGGTGAACCGCATCGACTCGGACGACTCGGACGAGGAGCCAGAGGAGAAACCGAAGGAGAAGAAAGCGGCGGAGAAACAAGACGAGGAGTCAAAGGGAACAAACGCGGCGGACTGTAATCCGGTGGAGCTGCCACCAACCAACGGACAGAGCCCGATAAAGAACCTCGAGGGCCTCATCAGCCGGCCCGCCGCCACCGCCGCCGCCACCACAACCACCGCCACCACTCCAGTCCTCATCCCACATCTGGAGCCACCCAAAAACACCAGTGCCACACCAGCTGCTGCCATCGCACCAAACGGTCTGGTCGGCCAGGAGATTGGAGCGCCGGACGATGACGAAGACGACCTGTTAGGTGTCACAGACCTAGTGGACTACGTCTGCAATAACGAAGACTTGTAAAAAACAAAATGGTGTACTGTTTCATTTTTTTTGTGGTATTGTATTTTTATATTGCTTAACTTTATTATTCCCCCCCCCTTCGTCCCACCGACACTTCCTCGTCGTCCTTTTTACTCGCGTCATCTGGAGCTAGAGTCTCAGCAGTCTCGGCCACGGTAAGAACTGGATACCTGTCACCAGTCTAACGCTGTCCCTGTGGGATTGTATAAGGGCACCAAACTGTCTTTTGGTTTGGTAATAATCCGTTTACCTGCACACCAACCGCATCATCCAGCTCCACTGCCAAACCTCCTGCTTTTCCTCTTTTAAAGAACGTGTCTCACATCGTCCCGTTTTTGTTTTTACTTTTGTTGCATCCAAGATTTCTACAAATTTTAGCTCCTGTTCTCGTCCACGCCGACGGACAATTGGCACTGACGTTGTTTACGGTGAGGGGAAACAGTTAAAGATCGCCTATTTTTAAATGAGTAAAATAAATCATTCCGTTATTAATCTGAAGTTTTGGAGGCATCTGTTAAAAATTAATCTTTTTTTTTACATTTTAATCCGTTAAAGGAATAGTTTGACATTTTGGGAAAAGTACTTGATACCACTTTAAAGTCTGTACGGTGAATATAAGTTATCCGATACGTCCGAACCACTGCGGCAAAATAGGGCCGCCCTCCTCCGTCCTGACGTAAAGTAGTCCCAAATGGAGAGGTTCAGGGTGATTTTAAAACATTAGAGGGTGTGTTGTTCCTCTTTTAACGCCGCTACTTTCTGTCTGCTGAGCCCAACAGCAGCAGACAGTCGGTCTGTAACGCCCAAAACAGATCAAATTTTAGACATTTTAGCATCAATATTTGTACTTGAGGAAAGTTTTGATGTTGATACGGTTTACAGTTATATTTTTAGACAATCGTAACATAAAAATATGATACCAGCACATCCTTAGTTCTTACAAAGTCCGCCTACCAACGCCTCTGTGGCTGTGTTATTATGTCTGTATAATGTGTGTATAAATGTTACTTCACAGACGCCTTCACCCTCCATAAAACAGCAAATTTTATTCATTAAAATTATTATTTTTTTGTTACCTTTGGGCAGAGCCAGGCTAGCTGTTTCCTCTTGTTTCCACTCTTTATGCTAAGCTACACTAACTGGCTGCAGTAGCTTTATATATTCAACAGACAGACACGAGGGTGGCTTCGATTATCTCATCTAACTCCAGAAAGAGTATTTCCCAAAATGTCCAACTGTTTGCTTTAAACTGTTCTCTCTCTATATATAAATATAAATATATATAATTTGAAGCTTCAGATGAGAATATTTATTCCTGTCGAATAACCTTCTAGACTAATAACCAGTCGACCAACTTTGGTTTGTTAGCCCCTCCCCTCGAACTCTTTTTGTTGAAGCAGCTTTTTGTATATTGTAAACATATAATTATTTTAACTGTGTGTGTTGCCGTCAGTATCAATGGTGAACTCCCGGTTTATTTTTGTTTGAGTACTCTGTTCGTTTCGGGGAAACAAAGTCAGAAGTAAAAAAAACTCTCATCCCTCCTAATCTTGAGATCTAATCTAGTTTCCTCTTATTACATTTATGTTATCTTTTTTTTTTTTTATAATGTATTTTTTTTTTTGTATATCTAAACTTTTATTTGTTGTCTTTGAGCGAAATGTAAAGTGTCTTATTTTCTTTGTACATTGTCCTTCATAGGAGGTTCAAAAACCTGCAGACTCGTGGCTTTTAACTGAAATAACACTAAGCTCCAAAACCCTCTCTTTTTTTATTTTAATCTTTTATTTTTGTTTCTTATTCTGCTTCCTTTTTATCTTCCTGCATACAAAACAACATTTCTAGTCACAATTCTCTATTTTCATAATCATGAGTTGACATTCGGGTCGGGTTGCAGTCGACTGACAACTTCTAAAGACCTCAAACAAAGATGGAGATTTGCGGAAAATTGCAAAAAAAAAAGCCTAATTTTTTGTTTTGAAGCGAAAGTCGGGATGCAGTTTTTGAATAAAGGGGGGGAGGGGGGGTGGACAGAACAAACAAACAAACAAACAAACAAACCAATGACTTCACTGACCTCTGCTGGAACCAGTCTGTGTGTATATCTGTAGTTTTTGCTGTAATATATTTAGAGGCATTTTTTTAATCATGGAAAAATATATTGGGCAATTCTTTGGGATTGCATGAGTTTCTAATAGTTTTCTTTTGTAGGGAAGTAATATTGGCACAACAGTTGTTTTTTTGTTTTTGTTTGGGTTTTTTTTGTAAGAAAACCAGAAAACTTTGGCATGTTTTTTTTTTTTTTTTTTAAAGGATTTAATGACCTGTTGCATCAGTGCTGAAGGACTTGTGAAGTAGATGCTGCAGGATTAATCTCATCGTTCACAGTGAAACTGCATAGGATGGCATGACCTACTAAAGGTTACAGAAGCTCTGGGAGAGAAAAGGATTATCGTAGAGAGAGAGAGAGAGAGAGGGAGAAGGGGAAAAAAATAAAAAATCTAGGACAGCTGAATCTGATTTTAAGAGGAGAAACGAGGCCTGTTTGTAAAATATTTTGTAAATTAGTCTCAGCATGGTCTTCACAGAGGATAAACCACTCTATTTATCATACCGTTTTTTTGATACCGGCTACGGCCAAAAACATGACTTCCAAGACAAAACCCATACGTGCTGCTCGCAGTGCACACAGCTTTAGGCTTCTATACACAATATTTAACTTTTAGATTATAGTTGGACAGAATATAGAAAGAAAAATAAAACCCCAATTCAAAATGTAATAGGTGTGTGTGAGTGTGTGTGTGTGTGTGTGGATCGGGTCGGAGTAAAGGAATGTCTTATGTGCTGTATGTAACCCTGTTTTAAAAAAGCTCCACGGAGATGAGGAGAATGTATTATTATTATGATATAAAACCTGTAGCAAGAGGAGGAGGAGGAGGAGGAAATAAAGGCTGCGATGGGATTAAGGGAGGAAGTCGGTGCCAATGACTGAAGTGTTAACAGAGTTTTCCTATTTACCTCATGATGAATCTGGGAGGAAAGACACCCTGTCCACTGTGTATAGATGCTCGTAGACTGGTTGTTGGTGTTTTGTCAGCTCCTTACTTTTTTTTTTTTTTTTTTTTTTTGTTAACTTTACTGTTATTTCTTATGAATCTGATCTTGTACATTTGTCATAATAAAATGGGTTTCAAGCCTCATGTCGCCCTGTCTTAAGTTTGCTTTTGATTTTGAAAGGTCTTCTCGACCATTGTTAATATATTTAATACATTAAATGCCTGATTTCACAGCAGCTTTTCTAAAAAAAATTGCTTTTTTAGGCCATTTTTTGTGAAAAACATTGTAAAATTTGCAAAAAAAAAGTACAATTATTACATGTAGTAAAGTTTTTAACAATATGTTTATTTAGTATTCAACATCTTATAAAAATAATGAGAAAAAAATAAATATATTCTTACTTATGTATGTATACTTGTAAATATCCAACATTGTATGACTATAAGCATACGCCTGGCATATACATGGATACTTAGAATTTAATTAACAACCAATATTGATTGATTAAGCATAAAGAATATAAAAAAGAAACCTCCTGTAGATCGTCCTTCCATGCTTTTCGTTTGTTTTCAACCACTGAGTCATTCAGACAGTGGAGGCAGCAGTAATCCTGGTGTGTGTCAGATGAGCTTGGATTGACCTGCACATGAGCAGACAGCTCAAATCCACACGAGACCAGGCAAAGCCAGAAGTGTAAAGCCACAGCGTCACCAGCAGCAGGCTATGGAGGCCCATTTCTGACAATGTGATGGGAAAAAAATATTCTGTAAGTCATTATAATGAGAAAGTTTCTCAAAATAATGAGAAAGTTTCCCAAAATAATGAGAAAGTTTCTCAATATTTTAACTTATTATCTCAAAATAATGAGAAACTGTCTTAATATTTTAACTTATCTCAAAATATTGACTTATAATATCTGAAAATATTGAGAAACTTTCTCAAAATAATGAGAAACTTTCTCAATATTTTAACTTATCTCAAAATATTGAGAAACTTTCTTAATATTTAAACTTATTATCTCATTTTAAAGACTTATCTCAAAATAAAGACTTATCTCAAAATAATGACTTAGTATCACATTATATTGAGAAAGTTTCTCAAAATAATGAGAAACTTTCTCAATATTTTAACTTAATATCTCAAAATAAAGACTTTATCCCAAGATAATGACTTATTACCTTGAAATAATGACTTATCTCAAAATAATGAGAAACTATCTTAAAATAATGACTTAGTATCTCAGAATATTTAGAAACGTTCTCATTATTTTGAGACACTAGGTCAATATTTTGAGATAAGTTTCTCATTATAACGACTCACAGAATAATTGTTTCCTCTCACATTGGTAGAAACGAGCTTCCATAAACAGCAGCAGCATTAAAGAAACAGCAGGTTTATAGTTGTTGTTCCCAACAGTTCCCTCTGACTGCCAGTGGAGGCTGTCAGTGTGCATCAGTAGCCCAGTGAAGCAGCATGTTGCAGCTCCCTTTTTGAAGTCCACATCAACCCCCTCCTCCTGTTAGCAGCCATGTGGAGTCAGTCTCATGTCTCTCATATGTTGTTTATGTGTTGAATGTTCTGCGTGCTGCAGAGGGAAACAGAGGAGCTCTTATTTGGTATTCGGTTGAGTCAGGGCGAGATGGGGGGGGGGGGGCACAAAGGTCACGTTGTGTAACAGATACCATGCAGGCCAAAGTACCAAGTGCTCTGGAGGTGGACAGCTTTTTCTTTTTGGGGATTATCCAAACCTCCTCGGGGGACTACAAATGAGATTAACCTGGTTTATGTTTTGTGCTTTTTTGTGTCCTTTGTTCAGCAAAAGTGTTTAAAGTAATAAGTAATACATATTTTATTTCATGGCACTCAAAGGTCCTATCTAGAGGCAGTGTTTGGTTTGTCTGTAGATAAAATCAGCTCATTTGAAGGTAACAAAAACACAAAGATTCTTATATTCAGGTGATTATACACTAATAAAAACATAGTTGTGAATATTATATTCCATTTCTGACAAAAGAGCCTCCTCAATGTTACACCCAGCACCTTTAAGGCAGGGTGTAGTCTGGAGACATTGCTTATATAACTGATGAAGGAAAGATGACTGTCCAGTATAACCTGTATGAAGACATGTAGAGTGAGCTACTATTAGCAATGAGAAATATCTCAGTTTTAAAACTATTTTAGCTTCATCAATATCTGTAAACAGCACTTAATAGACAGGAAGGATCACCTGGTGACAATAAAATAGGAAAGTACCAGTCTTCCCAACTTGGCACTTGACTCGACCCTCCTAGAGAATGGCGACTTTATTTCTAAAAAGCAACTAGCGAAACATTTGGTGATTTATTCAGACCTTTAGGGCAGAGGACAATAATTAATTCCCATTTGTGCTGCTCAGAGTAAACACAGTCTACAGCTCTTCTGACAACAGTGCCGGGGTCTCTCCCTCTCCTCTTGGGGAGGCAGTCAGTAAGTGTGGATCAAAGATATAATAGTTAAAACTAAAAAACTAAAACTAGGTGTGAAAAATAATTTTGAGTTAACTGAAATGAAATAAAAATTAGACTAGTAAAAAACAAAAACAAACAATCCTAAAAACTAGCTAAAATAAAATAATATACAGGAAAACATTTCTTTAGTTTTAATCTTTCGTCAGTTCGGTCAAATTTGTCAACACAACAAGCACAAAGAGGAATTAGTTCATATGTTTACTGACATATATATATATATATATATATATATATATAAAATGAACTTCTTAAATCTTGTCCCCAACAAATACCCCCATATTATATTATATTATATTATAATAAAACAAACTAAAACCCAACTAATAAAAACTAAACATTTTCTTAGAGCAAACCCACTATGGAAACTAACTGAATTAGAAGCAAAAATTAAAAAAAACTAATCAGAAATAAAAACAAATATACATACAAACATACAAATACAGAACTATAATAACTCTGGTGTAGGGCACATTTAACCTTCTGTAGCTTGTATATATATATATATATATATATATCCAAAAATCATCCTTTTGGGACCAATCCAACCAATAGTTGTCGAAACATTTCAATTAAAAATAAAAGCTTAAAAAAGAATTACACAAGAAATAATGATCACGAATGTGTAACTTTTCCAAATATATATGTTTTTAATCAAAATATTTCACACAAGATTATTAGAAATGAGTTTAAATTACAACACTATACAAAACCTCTTGCTGAAAAACAAACATTTAGCTTCACATTATTACTTAAAAGAGTCACTAGTATCACTCTTAGAAACAAAAAACTCTTCATCCAGACTCTAGAGGTAATAAAAGTTGTAAATCAAATTGTCCGTTCCAACACAAACATTACACTAGCGTACTTTTAACTCTCTGTCCGTATTGGAGATAAATTATCAGCTTAACCGACATAGTCAGACGTGATTTATGCAGGAAAAGATTTGGCAGTAAAAAGCTTTGGTCATCCAAACTTAGGAGGGCTCCCAGTGCCCCGAAACATTAAATAATGTCCTCTTTGACCCATTTTACATGATAAAAGTGTGCCACCAACATTTTGGTGTAGTTACAAACATCTGAACATGTGACGCTTTCACAACCGGGCACAATACACCCACATTAATCCAACTGAAAACAAATCAAAGCACCAAACATCTGTGCTGTTTCCCCCCCTTTTACCTATAATCCACCTTTAATTCAGTTTAAAGCCCTTATTTTAGGATTTAGAGATGAAACTGTAAAAGTAGCTGAGGAAATGTCTTCTGTCTGTTATACAAGTGAGAATAAAATATCTTCCACTGACTAATAACACAAATACAGCCAGAAGATCATAAATGTACCAAACCACATGGAGAAAATGCTCAAATTAAGTGGCTGTAATGTCACATTAAAGATTTATATTCATCTAATTCTCTGTGTGAGCTTTGGTTTGAGACAGACAGGCAGCTATTACTAGGAAGGAAAAGTTAAATTAGTTCTATAATGAGTCTTTGTTTCTAGTTCGAAGCGGATTTATACGTTAAATAAGCAACGGACACCGTTTTTCCTTCGACCGCGGCTCCAGAAGTCCTGGTCCTCTTTGTGCTACAATGAAAAAGCCTAAAAATGTTCAATATGTATTACGTTGCTAACATTGTGCAGTCATTGACAAGGTGAACTCACATTACAAGTAAAAGTGCATCCATTAGTATATTAGTACAGTGTGTGTATATGTGTGTGTGTGTGTGTGTGTGTGATAACAACAGGGACTCCAGGCTATGGCACATAAACAAGTTATAACTGGACTTCCTGTGCAGTCTTCTTTAGGTGTTAATGACAAAAGGGGAAACTAAAACGCTGCTACTGTGTCTTCTGTTTCTGGGCAGCAGGGACCTCCAGCCCAATCGTACTCTTTCCGGAGAGGAAAGGGACGATCTTCTCGAACAGCAGGATGCAGCTCGCCATGCCTGAGGACACACACACACACACACACAAACGGGAGCCAATCAGGTGCTTGCAAAGATATTTTAGGTATGAATCATAAAAATAAAATAAAAGAAGCAGTTTCTGGCATTTTATTAAAGCATTGGTGCAGTTAAAGGTGGCTCGTACAGGTATATTTATTAAAGTTTGTATGCTTAAAAAAAAAAAAAAGTATTGCCAAGTTAGATGAGAAGATTGATCGGTTACCAAAAAGGTAAAAGATCAGTTATGGAAATACTTTTTTTACTCCTAGAAAAATGTTTAAAGTCTTAAAACTATTTCCTACACAACAAACACTCTGTTCAGCTCCTTACCTGAAACTGGTCCCAGCCAGTAGACGAAGCAGTACTCCAGGTAGGTGTGGCCGCTGCAGGGGAACTGGACCGAGAAGGCCAGGACGGGGTTAAAAACGGCTCCTGAAATACTTCCACCTGCACCGAGAGAGAGAGAAAGAGAAAGAGAGAGAGCCTGAAACACTGAACGACATCTAACTGACTGGGAAACAGCTCGTATCCCGATGTTGGTTTCCTCTGCACTGTAATTTCCTAATAATTATACCATATCGGCACAATATCAACGTTTGCAAAAGGTCATTAAAACTCGATTTTGACTCATAAACTCAGTTGATTATGAGTTTAATGGCAGCTAATAAATACCACCAACCACCTGACATACAGCCAATGTGGGGCATTTGAGGCTCCAGAGCAGTTTCCCTATTACCCGGTTGGTAGTCCAGGCTTGTGTATGTGTGTGATCACTGAGAATTGATCTGTTTTTGCCTATCATTGTAATTATTTTGTGATTGGTGAGCCTCAAGATTGCAGGACTTTCATTAAAAAAGGTATGACAAGGTTTCATTGGCAATCAAGGTGAACTGATGTTTGTTAGTTTTTGATTACATTCAGTGTGTTTGTCTATAATTTGTGTCATTTGTTACTGTTTTATTTACAGTCACATGTGCATTATGATGGGATGTGTGAGACTTTATATTGTTTTATTTTACCATTTTAATTGTATTCTTTTGTATCATTATTTTTTATTTTACTGTATTGTATGATTATTTATACTTTATACTACTTTTTTATCTCATGTACTTTTGACTTATTTAACTTGTTAAGTGCTATAAAAATATAATTCTTGTTGTTTATTTATTTTAAATAATCTGTTTGGAGGCTTCTTCTCTTCTTTAACATGTAGTTTAGTGAACATTTGAACACCCAATCAAGTCAACTAATCAGATCAAACACTTTCACCCTGTGTTAATTAACACACCTGTGCAAACCACAGCGGTGATGACCGCGGCGATGAACGGAGCGCGAAGTATTTCGTCCAGCTTGTGGACATGCATGGCCGCAGCTTGGACCACGAAAGCGCATGCCAGCTCGACAGCCGCGGCCTCCAGCAAGGTCCCACCGAGGGGGTCGAAGCACCGGAACCCGAACCTCTGGTGCCTGATGTGGACGTCGGAAAGGCCCAGCGACCACACGGACGCGGCGAAGTACTGCGCGGCGACCGCGGCGGCGAACTGGCAGGCTATGAGGACGACGGCTGCTCGGACGCTTCTGGTCCCGCGGCAAACGCTCTCCAGAGCCCCGCCGGGGTTGCACGTCGCCTCCCGGAAAGTTATCAGGTGGATGACCGTCACGGTGTAGGTGAGGGCGAGGGCGACAGGCAGCCCCAGCTGGGTGGTTTCGCCCAGGAGTTTGAGTTCGTGAGTGCAGCTGCAGAGCTGGAAGGTGGACGCCGCTTCCAGCAGGTAAATCCAACAAGCTCCGCGGGAGAGACGCGCTGCCGTTCGGCGGGTCGCCTCGCTGAGGAGCACCGCGGCTCCCAACACCGCCACGGAGACGTACAGGTCAGTCATTTCTCCGGTTGTTCGGACGGTTTGGACCTCGAGGTACAACCCGTTCCTCCCGATGGGCCCAACTTCACTTTAAGTAGTTTCCCTCCTCCTCGACGTCAAAGTCCAGTTGATCCACGCTGCCGCGTCAAACCGCTCACTGTGCCACAGGAAGCGAGGCGATCCAGCCTTCAAAATAAAATTAAATTCAAATGGGGATTTATTGGTATGTGAGACAGATGTTTACATTACAAAGCAACTATAATAGGAAATAATACTAATAATGACATTAATACTACTACTACTAATAAGAAGACTACTAATTATGATGATAATTATATAAATTATAATTTTTTACTGTATGTGTGTCTAGGTCACTCACTGTCCTTCAGGTTGTGGTATATTAATACCCATTGGTCTGTAATATATGCCCTGTCTCCTCCTCCTAGGATTACTTTTAATTTTGGTAATTTGGAGCGTTAAAATCTGGGTTTACAGACTTTAATTTGTTCAAATAAATGTTCCTCATATTATAAAACAGTGTAGGAAGAAGTGCATCTCCCATCTCAATCGGTCTTTGACAGTATTCGGCATCACCTGCCGTGGTAACACAGACCACAGCATGAAAATGTCACGGAAATCAGATCAAAATCGCGCTTACGTCCTGTTGCCAGTAGGTGGCGCTCACTTTATCTGTATATCATCACATAGACGTGTTCAGGGCGGGACTTTTATCAGACGTGTGACGTTTCATTGAGATTGGACCATGTACACTGAAGTTATGAGTATTATCTTTTTAAAAGCATCTTCTGACCAATTAAAGCATCAAACATCTCTTCCTGTTGCCAGTAGGGGGCGCTATGACCATGAGTGTGTGTTGGCATTTTCAGTGCAAAACTAATCGCACAACAAGCCAGAATTTATTTTCACGTTAAAATTTGAGATAAAGAACATTTTTGAAATCATAAATCATAAAACTAATAACGCACAACAAACCAGATATATCTTTATTTCCCTGTATGTTTTTTTTTTTTTTTTATGTATTTATTTATTTTTATTGTGAATGCTGCAAAATGTTTTCCTCTAGCATATTTAAAGAGAACAATTTTATTAACTTGTTTTAACCTTTTGGCTGTCCTGATCAATATAGTGTATGCATGGTTGCCATGGCAACACAAATCAATGTTCTTGGGTTCAGTGTAGTTCACAGTCTTTGTTTGATTTGTTCATGTCCTGTTCACTTGTTTTATGCATCAGCAGTTATTAAGTAAGTATTCCCCCAGACCATGGTATCAGGTATATGTGATGATACCATGGTCTGGGGGAATACTCGATTCTGATTGGCTGCATTGTGTCCATTAATCCCTTTTTTATATATGATCACCTACTAACTAGTTCCAGTCAAATTGTCTGTTCACCGTTCTAAATTGATGCGCTAGCCTGTCTCCTAAATGAGTAACCATAGCAACGGGAACGCAGTCAAAGCCTCTGTTTACAATTTATTGCAACACTTCTTATATTCTTTTAACATATTTGGAGAATATGACAACTTTGACTGGGATGCAGCGGAAGAAAGAGAAATTGAAAAGAAACGAGAGAAACGGCACAAGGAGTTCACGTATCGGCGCTCGGACCCGATCGACTTCCGGCTTGATGCACTTTCTGGTCTTTTCGCGGTACTTCCCGGCACACGATCGCCATCTAACGTAAGTCTATTTCTACATTTTACAGAGTCTATATGTGTTTTTTCATACATATACATCAACATTTACATGTATAATTATTATATGAAAGTTACTTTAATGAGGGAAAGCCGCAGTAGAGACTCTTATGATAGAAAATATTGGTTATATAGATACACCTCCTATATAATTGGTAAGGTTATGTATAAAAATAGTATTGTTGAAACTCAATTTTGCTCTTGTGTTTCTGTCTGAGAACAGAGACAACAGAGCGAGAGAGAGAAGACAGCGTTAACCCAGAACCGGTGCTACACGAGTCACCTGTAGAGGTAGACCACTGGCACAGACACACTTAAAAGGGTTTCAAGGGTCCTAAGAGACTCCTATCAGAGGGGGAAGGATCGGGGAGTGGTGGTGGCTGGGTTCAGGAGGTGTGGCCTCTACCCTCTGGACCTGGAAGCCATTGATTGTTCACGGGTCATGCCATCCGGGCCGCGGCGTGGGACCTCCTCGCCACCTCCGCCAACCCCATCAGCCATGCCTGATGCTACCCATTTGTGTCGGCTGGGAGGAGCTGGACAACGACGAGTTTTGGTGTTTAAATATGTTTGAAGAGTTTGTTTTTTAATTTGATTATCATGTGTATATTTGTATATTGTTAACACCGGAAGAATTAAATCAAATAGAAGATGAAAAAGATGAGATCAACACCAAAAAACAACAAAAAGGGCAGTTAATATACTGAGAGACTTTCTTGCACAAAACACGAATGGACTCCAACTTTGAAAACTACACCGCTGATGCTCTTAATGAGACTCCGTGGGAGTTTTATGCCGCTGTCCAGTCCACCAAGGCATGAGGGAAGTACAGCAAGCCAGCCTAAGGAGAGAGCCGGTATTAGCCGTTATTTAGTTGGATTCAATGTCATAACTGACACCAGATTCAGGACCAGCAATGCGGTGTTTGAAGCCGTACTTAAACGGTACAGGAAAAGCGGTAAAGATACCAGCCTCCACCATCCCTCTATCTCTGAGTCGGACCTTGAACTTATTAGAAATTCCACTGCGCTGTCTCCCGTTACGCCCGTCGGCCTGGTCAGAAAAGTCTGGTACGACCTGATTATGGACACCTCGTCGGGCATTATCCCTTACTTATTATTGATTGACAATATTAGTCACCTTAAGATCCCGCAGTTTTTTTGAATTTTTGATTTTGCGCCCTTTTAACAGGGTCAGATACGCAAGATCTGCGCCGGTGGCAATTCCAATTAACGCTCCCGGATCCGGTCATTTTCGGATTTGCAGAGATCAAGTAAGTCGCAACTGCATGTTGCTGTGAGGCATGCTACTTTTTGTGTTGTTTTCACTGTATGTTTCTATGTTAATGCTGTGGATGTTATTTTTTTAGGTGATTTATTTTGTACTGTGTTCTGTTTTTCTACAGGAATGGTGAATAATATGAATAGCCCGACCCGACTACCCACGCTGGACCACCACCCTTCTATCTGCTGCCTAAAATTCACAAGGAGCCCTCTAAATGGAGTGTCCCCTTTGAGATCAATAGTGTCAGACTGCAGGTACCGACGCAGTGTTAAAGGGTTAAAAGGTGGTCCTCTCCTTTGACTTAAATAGTTGGACAGCTATCAAATAAATGCAGTCAGCACTGAGAATGGCAAAAAAAAAAATTCTCATATGCAGAGCTTTGGATCTCTAAGATCAACTTCTCAGCTTCTCTGACGGCTACGGAGAAAAGCTGCCTCCAAAAGCTCAAGAAAAAAACATGCCATACATTCCACTGCTGAACTGCAACTCATTCATGGTAGAGGATGACCTTATACACTGGTCCAGGCCTACTGCCATATGCATGCTGAAATACTGGTGCAAATATTTTAAACTCGCAGACCCCATAAGTCCACTTGTGGAAGGGGGAAAATACAAGGGAGCAAGACCCTTGACGTCACAAAATGTTGTGATCCTACAGAGTTCAAACCGACGGAAGCTCAATTGAATCTGCTTAACGGAGGGCTAACATTTGTGCCAACCCTGAATATAACCACGAATCAAAAAACACAATTAGAATTAGACCTACAAAAGTACCATCGGAAGCTCAAATTGAAAACATTCTTTAGAAATTAACATCAAAGGAATCCACCGCCATTTACACCACCATCGATTTGGACGTCGCCTATGTCAGAACTGCCAGAGGAGTTGGTGGTTATCCTGAGCAGAGAACAATATATAGGCGAGGTCCAACGCCAATTGCAAGATGAAACATTACAAACAATTAAAGGACCCCCTATACCCAGAATCCATTTTGTTGGTACATTAAACTTTAAGTGTGTTACATAAGGAAGAAAAAAAAAGAGGTGTTAACAAAATGCTGCATCAAGCTGTTTCACTACCTGAGGTACTTGGACGACATCTGTGGGGTTTGCACTGCCTCTATGGAGGAATTCGGAAAGTTCGTGGACGTCCTAAATACACATGATCCATCAATAAAAATCAAACATGAATTTGACAAGAATAAAATTGACTTCTTGGACACAACTGTGTATTTGGGACCATCCTACAAACTAAACCAGACTCTGGACAAAGGGTGAGTGAATGTGGAGGGTGTGAATATATTTTTATCCTTTATTGATTGGATTGAGACTGAATGTGAGAAAACAGACAATTAAGATTTATTATTTTTTTTATCTTTGTGTGTACAGACGTGTTTGAAGAAGAGGAGGAACAGGAGGAGGCAAATGAGGAGGAGGCACAAGATACTTTTTTTTTTTTTTTTTTTTTAAATAAAAATAATAATACATTTGAAATTTCTGTGGTTATTAAGAATTTAAAAGTTTTATAAAATAAGAGGTTAATGTCTTGTCAATGTTTGCGTCATATGTCCAGAAAGGACACAAAGAACGAGGAGTTTGTTCGTTTAGCCATTTGGCGACGCCCGTGCACGCAGACAATTGCATACCGGTATTTTCGCTACGTTTGAATTTTGTGCAAATTTCCCTGACATTTCAAGCATGTTGCGGCCGCCAAATATGCGGTCGAAGGGGCAGAAAATGAGAATTCCTGCAATTACAATAGGGCCTTGCACTGGTCAGTGCTCGGTCCCTAAATATCGAAACTATTCCTTTTTTTTGAGTTTCCTCCTTTTTTACATTTAGGCAATAATGTTCAAAATGTGTTGCAACATGTTGGTTTTATTTTGTAGGATGTAACAGGAAATGCTGTTATTGGCAGTGAAGTGCTTGATGCATGTGATTGTTGAGGGGGTGGTGCACACATCCTGGGAGTCTCTGCAGCTAAAGTTTCAGTTTGACGACTGCAGGAGGGAGAATATGCAAAGAAATCTGGGTTTTTTTTAGACAGTGACACACTTTTTTTTTACTTTCTACTCTTCTGTACTTCTAAAGAGATTTTAAATGAAGCAGAGGTTGAAAGTGTAAACTTGTAGCATGTGTTCAAAACCCTGTACAGTGGGGTGAACAATGAGATTGTTCTAAAGTAATCACATTATTTAAATTAAGTGCATTACCACAGTAGAAATCTTACGTAAGAATACCCTTTTTCCAGATATTCATCCACTTCTTTACGTTTTTCTCTCCCGGTCAGATAAATGGCTTCTAGAAACTTGTTTTCAGCTGCAGTAAAAAATTAAATGGCTTCTTCATAAGTTTTAAATACGTTCTGGAGATTAATGGATTATTACAGCTTAAAAAAAGAAGATACTAGGTTGTGCTGCAAATTTATTTCGGTATTTGTGTTTTTTATGTTTTCAGTTTACAGTTGCAGTTCATGGTTTCTCAATACCTGGACAAATTAGATTTAATTAGGTAATTTATAAAACTCCACAGGGGCTGTAGTGGCACACATATAAAAATTAACCTTTTTTTTTAAAAGTAGAAGTACAGATACTTGCGTACATTCTGAAATGTACTCAAAGTAAAATGTATTTTTGTAAAGGACATTTTTATCCACTGTTGCTGTGCAAAGCCGCTGAGTCTCTTTTGTCTGTTTCGTCTTGTTACAGGGTCTTTTAATGTAAAAAGTTATAATAATAATTTGCTCGCTCAAAAATGCATTAAAATTAAAAGTAACAAGCCTGTTTTGAAACTGTAAGGAGTAGAAAGTACAGATTTGTGTAAAATGTATTGTGATGCTCCTGCAAATGGGACCAAAACACAAAGTACTGTCACTTTCCATTTGAGGCTGTTTATCTTTGCTGTTGGATGAGGCAACAATAAAGTTTTTGTGGGAACTACAGTTTCACTGACTGAAGATGAAACCAAAGGCAACATCTTCAAAAACAGTCAAGAGGTGAAGCTGAGGAGGGCTTTATTCATCTTATTACTAAAACTAAACAAAAACTAGGTGTGGAAGAAACATTTTAGTTTACTGAAATAAAAATTAAACTTGAGTAAAAACTAAACTAAAATAATGTGCAGTAAATGTCTTTTTAGTTTTAGTGTTTCTTAATCTTGTAAAATTGATACCGATCATCAGGAGACGTTGGTGAATATGTTTTAGACTGAGTCAATCTTAACTTCAATTCCCAAAACACCTGACAAATACTCCCCAAAAAACTAATACTGAAACTTATAAAAACTAAACTAAAACTAAACCTCAAACCCACTCTGGAAACCAACTGAAACTAAACTGAATTAAACAAAAATAAAAACTTTGTGGTTGCCTGATCTACCAGCGGTTGTGATAAATGTCTGCGATAAATTGTCAAAATCACAAATTAGCCTCAAGGAGGTTTTATGTTCTCATACAACATATGATACCACTAGTGATGGGAATTCCGGCTCTTTTTAGAGAACCGGCTCCTTCGGCTCGGCTCACTAAAAAGAGACGGCTCTTTCGGCTCCCAAGTGGCTCATCATATTTTTTTTTTTTGCTTAAATTAATTTAGTACCAAATTATGTGTAAAATGACTATCTAATGTAAATACATGCATTATATCAAATGTTTAGTATTTATATGGATTTATTAATACACTCAACATGGAACAGTGCTATGAAAATAAATTATAAAATACAAAGACCCATCTTAATTAGACAAAAAGCTGCTTGATATGAAATGTTTAACTTTGCACAGTCTACACTCTGCCTTTGAACTATCACATTAAAATGTGTCCAAACTTTACTACGTTTCCTGTCACTCATTTTCCTCGCCCTTTCCAGTGTGTAGTCTCTGTCTATGTAGTGCCAAGGTCTCTCGCTCTCATGTCTGCCTCCCACCTGTTCACCTGCTCACTGTGCCGTGTGTGTCTGTAACCCCTCCCTCCCCCTCCTGCTCAGTGTAGATACACAGATGCCACCACACATCTTGACCAATCACGCGGCTTTAACGGGAAAAAACGGGAAAATCTGGGAAAAAAATCTGGATCTGGCTCCCAATCAGGAGCCGGCTCCCGTCGTTCACTTCAAAGAGCCGGCTCCTAGAGCCGGATCGTTTGCGACCGACCCATCACTACAAGAAAAATGGATAGCGAAAATAGATCTTTCAACCCGTAGTGGACAGACTCATTCATGTTTATAGTCTTCCCAATGGCAGCAGGAAACTTGTCTCATATATTCAGAGACCGTGGCGCTCATTAAAAGTGCCAATGTCAAACGCCACTAAGAGACAAAACACAGAAGTTTTTCATCAAACATACCCACGCAAGTCAAGAAATTAAGCAGTCTGAGATCCCAATATGATCAATCAACCAGGATCCTGATCCATTCATTCGCTGCCAAACAAGGGAGAGACATTGGAGCTCAATCCTCTCATAAATGTTGTTAAAACCTTTCTGAATTGTACTTTATTTAATGTAACAGTCGGTTGCTGATGTCTTTACAACTAAGAGGCTATTTCAATATATATGTGTATATATCACACTAATTCAGATTTTAGTTGAATACCCCTGCACTAGGTCATACTAGTTCGTACGAAGTTCGTGAGGCCTGAAACAAACCTAGTTCGTATAATGTTCGTAAATAAATACATGAAAGAAAAAGTTCAGAATTTGTTCTGAACGGCCACAAAAGGCAGAGTGAAAAGACAAACAGGTAAAAACTGAGGAACTGTACAAACGGGTGTAAATATAACAAATTGAGAAATGGATAAAAGCTGAGTCAGATTTTGTAGTTGTGGTTAAGTAAATGGTTAAAATAAATAAATAATTGGTGTGACAGTGATGTTATGAGCTTTTGCCTTCAGTTTTGTCTTCAGTCAGCTAACACAAGGTCACTGCAGTTCCAATAAAAACCTAATCTACCCAAAATCACAAATAAGCCTCAAGGAGGTTTTACGTTCTCATAAAACATATGATACCACCATTAAAGCAACAACAAGGAACGTTTTAAATACTATACTAACGATTTATGTAAATTAATTGTAAAATTAAAAAGTTAATTAGTTGGCAAAAAACCCAACAATTAATAAGCTAATAACTTTAATATGTAAGTACCTAACTAGGTCCTGCTTCCTCTCCTCCAACAGTGCCCTATAGGTAACAGATTCATGACGTAGTAGAATTTATAGTGGTTCCATACTGCCTTGCATTAAATCAATGTTAAAAGTTGACTGGAAATTTGAAAGAAATGACTGTTATTATAAGACATTTGACAATATTTAAGCACCAACTATAGTCTCACAAAAGCACCACTCTTTAAGTACTGTTCAACACCAATGTTTTAATACAAAAAATACAATTTGAAATAAATGTTTGCACTTAATAACTTAAAGTAAAATCCTGATGGCACGTGAATCTTAATACACTGTAATGCTGGTCACATTGTAAGATAAATAACAATAAATGGAGAAAAAACCAAAAACTGCTAACACAAAAAAATATAACTCAAAAATCGACCAAGAGATTTAGACTGATCACGCCAAAGCATCTGTGTATTAAAATATATTAAAATGACTAATCTCTAACAACACAATCACAGGTCCTTCCTGTTTATCTTGGTGACCTTTGTCTACAGGTTTTAGAATATTCTCTCTAATATGAGAAACACACTGAGCCTTAGTCATTCACTCAAAATTAAATTAAATAATCAATAAGCTGGTGAAGCACCCACTGTAAGTAAGCGCACCCTTTGTCTTTTTAGGTTAAACTTTAGTACCTCAATCCTGGGAGGTGATTGGCAGTGTGGACAGTGGTCATTGCAGAATTATACAAAGAAACCGCCTCTGCCATAATAAGGACCAATAAGAATAGTGACACATGTACTAATCAGTAAATGATGACACCCAGAATAACAAACTCATAAAAAGAGGGAGCAGACTGATTCTGTGGACCTTTCGAGTGAAGCAGATCGGACCCACAGCTGTGCTATTTACTTCTTCTCTCAAATACAAGAAGTTGAAGACTATACTTCCTTTAAGGTCCTTTCTCAAATTAACCACACGTGTCTCACTGCCAGTCGTCTCTCCTATTTAGTATTCTGAACACGTGTCTGTCTATGGCGGACTGGCGGTTCGCTCCCCTCGTTGCTGCCTCCGCTGCCCTGCAGAGGGTTTGGCGAGCTTGTTGACTCTTTCTGTCACTTCTGACCACGACGTCCGACCACAACCGGTGATCAATGAAATGGTGTCCCCCAG